GAGCAGAGCTCATCTCAAGTGGTATATGTCATAACTATGGGGAGATAATTAAGCATATTATGAAAATTATTCCCATTTTGGATGTAGAGAATTGCTTGTGTACTGAAATTCATGTGCATACCCTAATGGATGCTTACGTCTATGTGATGTCCCTTTAAACCTCAGTATTTGGGGGTGAACCTTCAAGTGTCTGCATGTGTAGCCCATGTATGGTTCATACACTGTGTGGCTGGAGTCCCGGCGCAGCAGGCTCCTGCAAGCATGGGAAGCAGCGGTGGGATGGGATCGGTGGCGTTTTTTGGAGTCGTGTGTGATTTTCTTCCCTGCACGGTAACGCAGCCCCCCAGTAAATGGCGGTGGTGTGAGCTGTGATGCCTGGCCGTGCTCGGGGGCAGGTTTTGGATCAGCTCATCGTTTCTCAAAGAGCTTGTCCAGAAAGTGTGGGACTGCCTGAGACAAGCCTGTCCCCCTGGGGAGATCTTCAGCAGCAGGAGGGGACCTGGGCTGAGCCCGTTTGGTGGCACAGGTTCACACCTGTAGGTGTGAACCTTTCCCCCTTTGCAAATTTGAAGGTGGAAAAAGACAAGCCAGAGATTCCTGGCCATGCTCATCTCCAGTATTTTTTGATTTGTTGTTATCCTCAAAGGTGGTCATTTTGGATAAATTCAGAATAGCTGCATAGCCTTTTCCGAGTATATGGTTGTAGACAGCAAGGCATTCATGTGCACATACCTCGCCAGAATCAGAAGAGACCAGATGATGAAATACCATTTTAATCTGTCTCTGATGACTCTGGAAGCGATAGGATGAAAGTGTCCTTTTTGTTGTCATTAAAATTAATTTGAAAAGCCAAAACCACCCAAACAACTCTTGCTCTATAAAATATTACTCATGGAATTAATTGTGTAGTAATGTACATCTAAGTTACAGATGGAAATCCTAGCTTAAGAAATGGTCTCCAGGGATATGGAAACCAGAATTTCAGTCCGTTCATGTGTTGTGTCCTGCTGGGCATCTCCGTAAAACTGGAGGGGCTGTTGTGAGTCTGCTGTTGTGTGGATTGTTCCATATAATTAGAGGCACCTTAGACTTCAGTGTTGGAACTGATGGTTCCTCAGCGTTTCTTTATATCCAGAGAGATCATCAAAATTAATAGTTTTGCCAGGGGCTTTGACAGAAGCAGAAAAAAGAAACTGTCGTTGCGTCAGGTCCAAACATCATCTCAAGCTGGAAAATGGGTCACTGTCTTGTCAGAGATGGCCAAGTTACAAGTGCCTCCAGTTACATTATTGTGCTGTAGGTAACACAACAAACATCACACTGACCTGTTCGTCTTCCATAAATGCTTTATTTATCATTATTTCATCAAAGCAAATATGGATTAAATTTATCACAGTGCGTTGCAGGGTAATTTCTTTATCACGCTACTGATCATGTCTTGCAGGAATTTCTCTTATCCTGACTTAATGGCAAAAAAGAAAGGGAGAAATAATAAATTTTTTCCTTTTCTGGTGTTTTTCTTGCAGCTGCTTGCTACCTGTGCCCCCCAGGTAGCCTGTACTGCTGTCCCGGGGAGGAGACCAGCAGGCGAATGGCACGGAGCTGCTTTGTTGGGACAGTTAGTGGACCACAGAGGTCTTGTTGCTCTCTCCCCTCTCCTCCCCCTGCTCTGTTGATGTTAATGATCTAGGAGCATCTCTTGGTACCTGTTTTGCTTTGTTCTAGACCGCCGCAAGAACATGAAGGGCTCTCACCAGTTCAGACAGGGCACCACCCATGTACATGTACACCTGAGTTATTGCTGAAGAAAATCTGTGATTTGTGTATGTATTTTTACATGTGCCTTGAGACATGTGGTCTTCTCCGTTGTCTATCCTGTATGAACCTCCGCTGGGCCTGGGAGACGTTGGCACTGCCCTCTCCTTCCCTCTTTTCTTCCCCTTCCACTAGCTGGCTGGCATGATGGTGGCTTCCTAATTAATCCTTGTCCTAGGAGGGCTGTACTGCAGGTGCAGGTGAGGGCTGAAGTGTAGGAAGAAGCCCATAAAAATGTGCTTCTTACGTTCTTATGATTTTCAAACCTCTTAGGAGGAGGGCACCAAAATAAAAATGTAGGGATGTGATATACTGATGTACAATAGCGGTGGGGCCGGTGGTTCTTCCTGTGCATATGGATATATGTGCACATGAAAATGTTCCTGGGTGTATGGTGCAAATGTTGTTTGTTTGCAAAATACTCATCTAAGGTGACTTTTCAGTTCTCTTGAGGCTTGATCCTGCGTCCGTGAAGCCCAAAGTTCAGGGGTTGCGCTGCATAATGCTGCCAGCTCCTGAAAAGAGGTGATGCTGTGTTTATACGTTGCTCTGAGTTGTGAGGGTGTGGAGGTCCTCTGAGGGGAGGAGGTGAAGAGGAGGTTAATGGGGGGTTCCACTGGGATGATTGGGGCTAATCATCCTCTTCCACTTGTTCATATAGAAAAATTGCAGTTGTCCTCCCGGTTGTTCCATTCAGCGCATTTGGAAACTTAATTCTTTTTTCCTTGCTGGATGTGGGTCATGGTTTTCTGAGGTGTTTCATTTGCATTTAAAATTAATAAATCATCCTTTACCAAGTAATGTCTGTAAAAACACCCTAGCTAATAGCAAGTTGGTGTCATGCAAATGTATTATTGAACATTCAGTGAACTTGGTGTTCTGGCCCCAACTCCTAAAGCTTCATGAACCTCCTGCTTTTTCCTAAGATTATTTTTTGGCAAAGCTTTACTTTTCCCTGAGTGGTTCTTTAGCCATGTTAACCCTTTATAGGAATATGACTTTCTAATTTTATAAAATGTTTTCTGTCATAAGATGTGTAATTTTATATCCATTTCTGTCGTTGTAAAAGATTATTAAAAAAATTGGAATTTGATTAAAATTATGTACTGTGTTTTAAATTCTTCTTCACCTGTTTTGAGGGTGAATCCCACAAAGTCCAGTGATAGCCTGAATTCCAGTCTGCTTCAGGAACACGTGATTGGTGATATGAGAAAATGCATTAAAATGACAGCTTTGAAAACATGCTGGCTAGGAAAGAAAATAGCCCTGCAGTCACTGGAATTGTATTTCTGTAGAGAATGTCACCAGGTCCAGGTAGAAGACATGGGCTTTCCCTGTTTCAGTAGTAATTGTGGACTTCTTGCTTCCCATTGGGCAAAAGCAGATGTTTAACATTGCTTGGACCACCAGGAAGCCCTTTAAAATGGCACTGTTATCTTCAATTTTCACCAGAGACCTTTGTACATTACAGCAACCTCTGGGCTTAGGGATTCAGGGTGAAGTCAGAAACAGATGGCGGGTTCATGGACATGCTGCCGGGCAGTCTCTGAATGGTGTAAACTGGATTTTCTTTAGGCTTTCTGTAGTCCCAGTTTCTACTTTCTTCTTCATTTGAACAATCTACTACAAAATACTCATATTAATCTTTTCTTGGAGAGTTTCTGGCTTCCACTGCTCTTCCCTGGTCATTGGGGTGGGAGACGAGGTGGGGAGGAGAGAGGAGGAAAAATCACCGTGAATTTCATGATGCATATTTTTACTCATACAGGTAATTCAGATTATATTCAATAGAATATATGTCTGCCTGACAGCAAAATGCATGCTTCATTAGCATAATTAGCACCATCGTTGTTATTGTTGCTAAAATACCCCCACTTTTGAATGCCTCGTGCCTTTTCAAGTGCCTGTAGGCGGGATGCATTGTACAGCTCTGGCTGCAGAAGGGGAAGGTACCTCTGCCCCGGCTGGGACAGCTCTGCTGGTCCACATCTCAAAGCAATTAGGAAGTACCCTCTCATGTTATTGCTAGCCCAGGCAATACCCAAGACTCTACTCTTCAGGAAGAAAAAGTGACCTTTTTAATGATAAAATGTTGTTATAGTTGCATTCAAAAAAGCAACCAGTGTCCCCATGTTGGTGGGAGTTACGCTTAATAATCTGCTTTGGCACCTGGAATCTGAGGAACAAAAATCAATGAAGAGGTTTATAGCGTGCGAGTGAGTTTTTTCTAACAGAGTGAAGGTTCCAGAAATGATCCCTGTGACTGCGAAATACAAAGGAGTTGGGATGAGAACTGTTTGATAGCACAAGAATAGTAAGTGAAACGAAAGGGCAGTAAATTCTGCAGCTCGGATCGTGCTTGGGAAATAAGATGTTATTCTCAGAGTCTGCCTTAAACTAGGGATACGTCCCTACTGCCAGGTCAGTTTTGAAATGGTGGCTTGTAAACAGGATATGGAGACTGCTGATGGGACGCCTGAATTTACGTCTGAAATGAGATGATGTGGTATGGGTCTTTCAGTTTCTGAAAAAAGGTTTCGCACACAGTTAATGGAAAACTAATGTTCAAGGTTTGACCTCAAATTCAGCAATAGCCACGAATTCTCAAGGATTAAGTACCCTGGTTTAATTAGCATAGTTTTAGCAGCAGACCTGGATTACTACTTTATCATGAATAACGTATATGAGCAATTTAGTGATTTTCCACTTTGTGAATTGTCTGAGCAGACTGTGATTCCCTTGGATAAAGCTGCTGTTTTAAATTATCGGCAAAATAATTTCCCATGGATGGAGTGGGACACAAAGAGTTTGTGATGAGTAACGGTAGAAACTAGAGGTGTCTAGTTATTTAGTCTTAAATAAGAAAACTGATCTTGCTGTAATCTGTTCTGAAAGCATTAATTTATCCTTGCAAATTCTTATTTTGAGGGCCACATTTTTATTAATTTAAAATTTCCACCAATGCTTGTTTGCTGAGAATCAATGGACGTCATGGCCAGACTAGACCAGTAATTCAACTAAACACAAAACCTATTGTTTTAACCATGCAAACGGGTAAGAGAGAAATGTTTAGCAGGAGGTTAAAAGAGCATTCTGTGAAATAAGGCTGAAAAAAAAGTGAGTTTTTTAAAGACATTTTTATTTACTGGAAAAAAAAAAAAGGTTTCCTTATGGTTTGAATGCAGGTTCTGCCTCCAGAATGGATGCTCATGTGGGTCCTTTGATGCCGACGCAAGTCACCCGGGTAACTGCTGTGTCTGCACCGGCGGTGACGTTCATGGCAACCAATTTGGTGGATCAGACATTAACAGGTGTGTTTATGTTTATACTGATTATATTACTGAAGCATATGTTGTATATTTGCGTACTTCCAACCAAGCCATGCTTTCCATACTGCATAGAAATGGGGGACCCTTAAAAAATTGGCTCAAATTCTATGACATTTGCTTTAGCTAATTACGAATGTATTCAGAGTATTTCAGGTCCTATTTACTCGGTCTGGCAATTGGCAGTAGCTTTGCATTTGATGATACAAAAGGCAACTTTCTGAAACATCCTTGGGCTTTTAATTTCCCATGCCAGTGGTATTCACAAGCATCACAGTGATAATGAGGTTATCTTTTGGATAGTTGCTCCATGAAGCCTCGTTGACTGAAGCCTCCGAGGATGCTTTATGCTGTACTGTGTGATAAAACTGGTTTATTCACTGTCATGTAAATGTGTGTGTTGTCGTGAGATGAGGGGCAATGCTGTTCCCAAAGGCTGGAGGAAGTCTTGTGGCTTTATTTAGATTCACATATACGTGTTGCAAATCACGATCAAAAAGCGATCAGATTTTCATAGGAAATTGTGAACGTCTTTCCTAATAATGTGAAATTCCTCTTACAGTACTGTCGTTGTGAAGTCAGGAGCTCTGTTAATGGAAGTGAGATGCTGTGATGGGGCTGGACCGGTTGTTCCGCTGCCTGACCTGGGTGCACACAGCCATGGAGAGGGGGTGCCAGCCAGCCCTTGCCAGCTGTGCAGCACCACGGGGTCCTGAACACACCTTCCCAGCCATGTTTCATGGAAAAAACTGGCGTTTATCAGGAATTACTAGGTATCAGTTCAGGCGTCATTTATCTGATCCTTCACACCTAGGGATTAATAGGGTTGTGGAGGTGTTGAAAGGTTGTGTACTAAAAATGAATGTACTTGTACTGTGTTTGTTCATGTACAGATTTTTGGTATAGAAGCTCTCACTTGTCCAGCTAAGCCGTTTCCTTCGTGGGTACCTCAGGCTCACCAACTCTACCCATGGCTAAGATAAAAGTTTCATAAAGTACTTTGTGGTCAGCTGTGCTAGGCAAATCTGTAAGTGGAGCTGGAGGCTCCCTTTGAAGCAGGTCTGCCTGCTGCTGTACCTGTCTTGAATAAGATCCTCTGATTGAATTTATGTTGCTGAGTATTCCAGCTCTGTCTGGAAATTGCTGAAAATTTTATGACGCAGACACCTTAAAACTGAGGGGAAGTTCATACACGTTTCTCTTGACGTACTTCAGTTTTCAAACCAGACAAGTTTCTTGTCTGGTTTGGTTTGCTTTTGGTAAACACCTACTTCTTTTATCATCTGTACAATTAGTTGTGCTTGAAGACCTGCATACTCCTTAAAGTCACCAAGAATTGTATTGCCTTGCTTTCTTGTCAGAAGTAAGTGAGACGGAGGAAATATTAAAACTGTTCAAAGAATGCAGGGACAGAAAGACGAAGATTCGTGCAAGGGTCATGCTGATCTGCAGCTTGTTGCTTGTTGAAAACTGAAATTGTGTTCTCTAATGTATTTCATATCAAATATATGTCATAATCTTCTTACTGGCAGACTTGAAAACACAAACACTCCTGATTTTATCCATCATGCTGAATGACGATTTAACTCTGTAAAGCCTTTTGATGACTAGATGACTTCTGATGACGAGGCCAGTGTGACATTTGGTCGATAGGTTGCCTAAATCAAGTGGCTATACTGTTGGGAGGCCATCACTTTGGACGAGCAATCGTTACATTTTTATATGCATACAAGTAATGTAAACACGATGAACATTATATTGTTGTTTCCAGCTTTCTCTTGAACATACAAAACACCTTCATTTTCGAAGCTCTGTTTGTCATTTTTGATTTGCTGCCAACTACATTTAAGAGAAAAATGATAATTTCACTCAAGTATAGTATGGATTTTTCTTTAATGTTTTTGAGGAGATCACACTCTTTTCTGTAGGTTGCTACAAACTGCCGTTATCTCCAGTGGAAAAAACAAAGTAGGAATCATAATTAAGAGCAAATGACAGTAATAAAGGTGTTTTCACACATCGGCCTCAAAGTGCCACAGAAAAGCAAACATGCACTTTAGGAAGCTATTAGGAGATGCTGGGAACCTGAAAAAGTCCCGTGGGTGACCAGGACCCAGAGTCAGCAGGTGGTGGGGGGCCGGGGCTGAGCTGCCTCCTGGCCGCTGCAGAGCAGGAGCTGGTGCTGGGACCTCTTAGTGCCTGGGTGGCAAATTCAAGCACGCCAGCCTGCTCTGAGTCACCAGCGTTAGCCAGGTGGACAGTTAGGGTGGAGAGATGTTATAAGAAGATACCATCCTCCAATTTTGTTTTTGTTTTGTTTTGTTTTTTTAATTTAAATGCTCTGGACCTTGAAAAATGTATTCATTGAGTGTCTCCAGCCCAGGAGCACTGAAACACAGGGGTAGTGATTTCTGAGGGAGGACTAGAAGGGCAGACAACTAGAATACCAACACGTTAAGCCATGAATCTTATATCTAGTATGTAGAGTGCTTTAACATACATATAGAGGCCTGTGCCACCATGTTTTGCTGCCAATACCTACAGTGGCAGTATTAAGCCAGCATACAGATTTTATATGGTATTACAGGCATGCTTTCATTTTGCAATACAGATAAGCCTTTCTTTGACTTGGTTTCTAAAGAGAAAATTGGGTGTTCAGCAAGGCTTGGCACATTTGGATTTTGCTCATGACAACACTAAATCCCTCTTTCTCTGAAGACTTTTAAATTAATAAACTTTTCTGTGTTTCTGGAGCAGAAGGAGTAAACTTTGCAATGGTCCTGGCTTCTAGTAAGCATTTATTTTTGTATTGGAAGCTGGAAAAGTCCAGTCTCAAGTACAAATCTGATTTTTTTGCATTACTGTAGGTACAAGAGAGGTGGAGCTGTAACTACCACCCTCACAGAGCTCTGCATGATTTTATAGATATTCAGAGCTCAGATCATTAAGTGCCTTGAAGATGAGGGCCGAGATCTTGATATTTAAAAAGAATCACATGTAAAGAGCACAGGAAGGAAGGTCGGCAAGAATCAGCGAAGGTCTTTGATTCAGAGCCCGGCTTAGCCTGGGCCAGCTCTCAGAGGTGCAGAAGCAGCTGGAGAGAGAGGCTGAGAAATGGTACAGAGGATAGAAATACCCTGGTGATGAGCATGCAACAGCAGCTGCCTCGTGCTCAGGGAGGGAGGAGGTGAATGAACGGGGGGCCCTGTGCTGTGCCTGGTGTTGGTGGGAGCTGATGCTGCTCTGTGGGCAGCAACGCTGGTAGCGATGCTTGTAGCGATGCTCCTGCCTGTGCAGCTCTATGGGAAATGAATGCACTGAGCCAGTCTGGGAGGTAGGGATGGTACGCTGCCCACCCTGCATGGTGTCTGAGGGAATATGCCAGTAGGGGTTTTTCACCTTCTCCTTCTTTAACAAAGAAACTATTTTCAGGGTAGTGGCAAATAACATCTATTGGGCAGTGTTGGCTCTGTGCCTGAAAAGTCAAACAATTAAATGAGTTTGTCCTTGACCTCTGCACCAGGCATGTAGCCCATGGTAATGTACAGTAGACAAAGAATTTGTCCTTGTTATTCTACTGTTTCTGTTACAAATGTCCAGAAAAATAAAGGGGTGAGTGGGAAGCGATTGCTACAGAAGGAAAAAAGCACTGCTCAAGGAGACTTATTCTAAGAGGGGAGACAGAGTGTTTGGCAGGGCACAGAGAAACTGGTCAAAGCAGAAAATAGACACGAATTAAAGGGTGAAATACAGTGTGCAGGCAACAGCAGGATCTGTTTCCCTGAAGCAGTGATGATGGGCTGAAGGTGGGATCCCTGCCTGCGGGAGCAGGGAATGGACCAAGCTGACATAGCCGGCACTGAAATCCCACACTTAGCTCGAGCCAGAAGCAACAGAGGAGGAATTGTGAGTCAGTCAGATATGTTTTTTAGACTGATCTCAAAAACCAAAAGCAATAAGGTTGTGAGGAGAGACAGAACTGATCTACAGAGATAGTGGTGGGATAATAAAAGCTGAGTATTTAGATGGGTGCACTTGAAGTAAATCCAATTCTCTGAAACATTTAGAATCAAAATTTTAAACTTCCTTTGAGATTAATGGAGGTTTGGCCTCTAAATACCTTTGCAAAACAAATTTTTACTCTCTCTTCTCCATAGCTGCTTCTGGAGTCAATCAATCTTTCTTCCCTCTTCTTCCCTCTTCTTCCCTCTTCTTCCCTCTTCTTCCCTCTTCTTCCCTCTTCTTCCCCAATTCTGCTTTTAATAAGATGTTTATGATCATACACCTACATTCTCTATGATATACCCAAGATAGTTTTGCTATTCACCTTTACTTTTCACGCTGTGAATTATTCATGTCTCTCTACCTGCCGTGGGGCTTCAGAGAAGTCTCTTTAATCAGATATCTTTATCCTCCCGTCTTCAGCGCATCCTTCGGCAGTGTTACAGCAAGTGCAGGAACACATCGTTGGTAATTATGCTGCTAAGTTTAGGGGCAAAAAAAGCTGCGTGATTATGTTGGAAATATGTCGTGGTGGCTTAATTGTCTTGCTGCAGTTTATTTTATGCACTTAAGTTAAAGAGGGGGGAAAAAAAGGTTGATTAATGAGAAAAGAGTAAACCGGAGCAAAGATGTGCGCCAGCTGCCAATAGAGGGTAAACATGCGTCTTGCTGCTGGCTGTCCTTTTCCAGTGTGTGCAGAGGAGAAGAAATCTTTAATGATCTAAGAAGTCCTAACAGTGGTCTGCTTGATACCCTCCTTGGAAAGCAGAGTGGGTCAGCGGCACAGGCTCCCCACAGCCCTCCTCCCACCTCCACCGTTACAGCTCCACCGCCTTGCTTTTCAGGAGCTCGGAATCCCTCGTTAGCACAGTGAGCCTGAGCCTGGGGAGCGCTTCCTGCCCCAAGGTCAGCTGGGGACTCCTGAGCTCGAGGCGGGAAACACAAGCTTGAATTATTTTTCTCTTGACATTATACTTCGGGAGAACGGTCACAATGTTCAACTATAGATATAAAAATAAATTACTCCTGACATGCACAGTGACTTTCAGGACTTTCTTTCGTTGTTTTATTTTAATTTTTTTTATTTCCATCTTATTTTATATGTGCTGACTGTCCAAAATTTTGTGGAAGTATATTTCACGTGTGAATGCCTAATGAACTGCGTGCTGCAGAAGTTCACCTACATGTGCTGCGCCAGTGATGCTGTATTTCAAGCAAAAGCTACAGCACCCAAGTCCCTCCCTGGGGCTTCAGCTTTCCTGTTCGGATGCTGTGAGGGAGCTTTTCAAAGGAGGAAAAAAAGAGAGGTTGCATTGGGTGTTGGCAGCGCAGAGTGTCTCCATGCCGAAGACATGTAAGGTTCAAACAGGAGTGAGAACGGCTGCCTGTGCACAAGAGCCTCCCGTCTTGGTCTGCACCAGTATGTCCGTGCCCCATACTTGAAGCCAATCTTCAGTTATTAAAGAGCAGGGTAAGAGCAGCTGTGACAAAAGCAATTATACCGTATGTCGTACCTTCCCTTGCATCAAACCAGAGCTCCTGGAGCTGTGCGAGTGTGGTTTAGGCTCTCTCTCCTATTTCATTTCTTCAGCATCAGCTGTGGGAAACTCCTCTGCCAAATTTCACTTGTGCAACAGTTTGTTTAAATCTGCCAATTGACATTTATGTATTTGTATTAATGCTCGTAATGATTAATTAAAAGTTGGCATCAGCTAGGTAAATGAGTTTTCTTGTTCCTCATGCATGTGTGCATATGCATATACGTGAATGAAAGATTTTGGCTACTTCTTAAACCAACATGATAATTCTAATAATAATAAAAAGCTTTTTTTCTGGGATTAGAGAAATAGTTAAAAAGAGAAGGAAGCAGAGCTGGAAGAGGGGTTGATGTGATTTCCCTATTAAAAAGAAAAATAAATCCTAGGTCCGTTAAGCATCATTTCCCAAGCATGTTGCTTGTCCCAAGCTGCTCCGTGTTCGAGTGACAGAATCCAAACAGCAATTTGTTTGTGGTTGTTTCATCAGCAGCTAATTGGCCTTCCAGAGTTGTTGCTTCAGGGACTATTTCATGGCAAGGGCAGAAGAGTCGAGAGCTGGAAATGCCGAGACGTACCGCGCTGCTCAGCAGCGTTGCCCTCAAAGGCTCCCAGCACATGGTCGGCTGTGATGCCCTGATGAGCCCAGTGCCAGCTGTGTGTTTCTGCAGAACGTGGCCAGAGCCAGCTGTGTGTTTCTGCAGAACGTGGCCAGAGCCAGCTGTGTGTTTCTGCAGAACGTGGCCAGAGCCAGCTGTGCACCTGCAAAAGCCATCCCAAACCTGGGCTATTCCAGCTGCCTTTAAATTGCTGCAAAATCAGTGACTTGCAAAGGAACATTTGCTGCAGAGGGCAATGTCTCAAGGTTCCTATCATCCTCTACAAACATATATCCAGAAGGCACGCTAGTATTTTGGTTTAAAAACCTTGTCAGAAAGGAGGGAGGCTGTACAGGACACATTGTGCCTGCTGTGCCACGCAGGGCAGTGCCTAAGGGCTGGCTCGTAGCATGGCATGGGAGCGGAGAACAAGCCACCAAGGATATCCCAGAGGAACAGCAGTGGGAGAGTTGGAGTGATGGGAAAACGCAGGGCAAGATAATGAAATACCTCTGTGAAACAGTTAAGAAACTGCACATTGTCTTTCTTCTGCCATGTTTTAGAGCTGGAGAATATATTAGCAGAGTTTAATTTAAGCGAGGTGCACTAATTGTGCCTCCAGATCTCACAGAGCAGTGACTGAGAGATGCATCCTTGGTCCTCGGGTGTCCTTTCTCTGTGTTTGCTTTCCTCACACGGGGCTTTAGCATGGCTAGTGCCACCGTTTGCCAGCACCAGCAGTTGCCTCCTGCCTTTCCAGGTGCTCGCGTGTGGCACTGCTGCTTGTGGGGCTGGTCCCAGCAGGGTGCCTGCGTTGTCCCTCCGATGGCCCTGGCCTTCCTGAGGACTCTGCTGGGATTTCCTTCACCTTTCCAGAAGCCCAGCAGGGGAAGGCAGAGGTGGGTGCTTGCAGGCAGGCTGAAGCCGGGTGTGACTTTATTGCACTCAAAGACAAACGTGGCCGTGTTTGCTTTCCTCACACGGGGCTTTAGCATGGCTAGTGCCACCGTTTGCCAGCACCAGCAGTTGCCTCCTGCCTTTCCAGGTGCTCGCGTGTGGGCTTGTGGCTTGTGGGGCTGGTCCCAGCAGGGTGCCTGCGTTGTCCCTCCGATGGCCTCCTGAGGACTCTGCTGGGATTTCCTTCACCCCAGAAGCCCCCCAGCAGGGGAAGGCAGAGGTGGGTGCTTGCAGGCAGGCTGAAGCCGGGTGTGACTTTATTGCACTCAAAGACAAACGTGGCCGGTAACGCTTTGATTCCCTGTTAACTGATGTGAAGAAAGATAAGTTTAGAGACCCTTTTGATATGTATTAGCTGCTCCCTACTCCTAGCTCCTTTAATATGGAAATTAATTGATATGGTTTGTAAATCTTCTTTTTCACTACCCATACAGATTGAGTAAGTCATCTTCTGAGAAAAATGACATATATTTAAATTTTTATTATTGTGATATATTCCATGGTAAAGCAGAGTCAAATGGCTGAGCCTCCAGCCTTTTCCTCGGTGTAGTTCCTGTTACATGTATGCCTATTCTGTAGTCTGAGTAATTTTAAAATTAATTGAATGGTATTTTAACATGTGAATCTGCTATATAATATGCAGTCCTAGAAAAGCAGTGCTTGCAAATAGTTTCTTGAAGCTACTCTACCACGGTTTTAGTCCGTTTGGCAGACAGAAGGTGCTCCGTAACTCTTGAGATGGATAAGGGGTGAGGTATGTCGTGGCTTGTCCTTGTTATAGCACTCTTAATATTGTTAATATTACCCTATATTTGCAGTGTGTCCTTGCACTGGAGCTCTCCAGGGTGCCCGCGACAGCTGTGCGCCGTGGCTGGGTTTAGGGTGGGTGTCTCCCTGCAAAGCTGGGGCAGGGCGCTGTGGGTGCAGAGTCGTGGCACTCAGGCATGCTGGCACGGATGGATCATTGTGGTCCCCATTCCCGAGCGGTTTGAGCCTCCTTTGGTAATTTTACTGCTGTGCTGGAACTCGTCAGACACGTATGCACAGGAACGCTTGATTATGATTATATAGTGCTTATGGAGTTTTTCTCATAAATGAGTTGAAATGTCATCATTTTTTGTTGTTGAACTCTGCCTAAAATTCTGCAGGCTTTAAGGTAGAAATCCAAGTGATGCGGCATGGGGCCCTGATCACGGTTTGTAGACTTCTTTCTAGGAGGAACACACCAGGTAACGGAGCCTGGGTGGCTGCATGTCACCAGCTGTATGTGCTCCCCGTCGGAGCCATTGCTGTCACTGCTCTGTTTCGCTTGAGCAAGGGCGATGGCTGTAGTTGGGAAGAACGATTGGGAAGGGGCTGCGTACGCTTTCCCTGGGACTGCTTAACTTACAAAGAATATACCTTGTCCTCCCTGCCGCAGGTGGGATGGGCCACGTGACTAGAGAGTACCTTTGCTCAAACCCCCAAATAAGTGTTTTAAGAGTAGTGGAAGGACAAGACGATTAAAAACAAACCAAATAAAAAAAAAGAATGTATTTTTTAATATTTCTTACTGTGAAAACTACTTTTTACTCATTGTTAGGCCTGTCTCTCGTGCCTGCTGTCATTTTTGCCTTTCCTTACTCTCCCTTAGGGACTCTTTGTTACCGAGACGTACACATTTTGTAGCCAGTAGAAACACTTTCTAGTGTTTAGCATGTCAGGATGGAGGCAGCTGTTTGTAAAGGAGAGGAACGTGTTCTTACAACTGCTTCCAGTGGAAATGCAATTAAACACTCATCGGCAGCTCCTACGGAGGTTAACCCAGAGCACACCAGTTCTCCTGGCTGGGAGGAGAGGGGGCTGGCTGGCCCTGAGCCCCTCGGGGGGAGGCTGCTGCTCCGGGGGGTGGCTGTGCCCCCAGGGAGTAGGGGATGTGCCCGTGGAAAAAAGTTTTGGGTTCAGGGAAAGCAGGACAAAAAGCTCAGTGCAATAAAAGCCTCACTCTAAAGTATATGAATGTGTCCCATTAAAATACAGCATGATATTTAGAAAGGTGGTATGGTCCTCAGCACACATGTAGGCATGTGAATAAAGGACTGAGTGAGGAGGAGGAGGTGAGGCAAGGAGACTTGGAGCCACAGGGAGTGGTTTGGTTTTTCTTTGCCAGTTTTGGCTTGTTGGGAATGTATTTGTTGTACATTAAAAAAAATCCTTTCCCCTCACAGATAATGGCAAAGAATCGAGTAGATCCTCCTGCCCACCGACCTTGATTTTACACACGGAGAGGAAGAGTACCCCCATGGATAGCGATGGCAATAAGGTCTGCAGTGGAGTTTCCTCTTCTTTTAAAAACCTCTTTAAACTATTGAACTGCACAAATCAGAGTCAGTATAAAGGACTGTCCTCTGGCTGGAGCTGTGCTGGTGATACGGGATTGTTTCCTACAGTTGATTTTACAGAGCTATCTGTTTAATTTATCTTTGTGCTTTATAGGAGCTCTGTCACTGTAGTGTCAGAGTATCAGAGGAGGGATACTCTGATGGTATCAGATGGTATGATGTGGCTGGTTTTCTCCCCGTGCTGGAGGAGAAGCGAGTCGATGGGTTGTGTGTGTATGCATGTGGAGGTGTGACACAGCCCGGGAAAAAAATCATGCACTGAGAAGTTGAAGTGCAGAAACAGTGTCTGATTTTCTCAAGCTCACTGGTGGCAGGGACCTGTGGAGCTGGGTCAGGCCCTGCTCAGAGCAGGGTCAGCTCGTGTCACTTATCACAACGTCATCCCCTGGTGCAAGGAGGAATTTTTTCATGGCCCTCACCTTTTTGGTGTTACTAATTTAACTATGCTGGGCACTTCTGTATCCCTCCTTTACAGATAATTGCAAGGTCCTTAAATAAAATTGGCAGGTGAACATAAATGGATAGCAAATAGTATGTGCAACTTACAGATGGGTAATACTATATTGTGTGTAACTTCATTAGCTTTTCATAAGAAAGCCTAGATTATTGTATGAAGGAAAGGGACCTGAATCATACTTCCAGCTTCTATGAAATAAATGGAAATACTTGCTTTCTGCACAGCTCATGCAGACTTCATGCAAATGACTAAAGCTAAAAGAGGGAAACGTTTATCTGAGTATGGGGGTGTGGAAGAGCATCTCAGGCTCAGAAAGCAGCAGTGCGGAAGATGCTCGAAGCCACCCTGCAGCCCTGGAGCAGGCGTGTCTGTTCCCCTGTGCTTCTGCTCCATGCACACATGCTTTTTGCATCAGGAGCGCTGTCCTGGAGGAGGAGGACCTGTGGACTGAGCTGCTGTTCAGTTTATTTTCATTTGGCACATTCCTATCACGCTGCTGTCTTTAGGCTCTCTGCAAGCAAACCTTCCCTGCCTACCAGGCGCTGCAGGTGTTCCCCACCTTTGCAGCTGCATTGGTACTTGGGCACGTTCCTTAGGGCTTTAAGTTGTAAAGTACTTTCAAGATGAAGACCTCTGGACATATGCTTTATTACTTTTTAATTAAGTATGTGCTTCTTGTGTTTTGATACCGCATTGAGCTAGATCACTGCCTTCCTCCCACACCTCCCCCTCGCAGTTCATTTCCATAAGCTACTACAATAAATGGCTGTTTTTCAGCTGGTAAAACACTGCCTGTACTTGTCAGCTGTACCATACAACCCTGCTGCGTTGTCTGTTGCTCCATCCGTACAACCAGCCTTAGGCAGAGCGGCCCAGCTCTGTCACAAGAGGGTTCGATGGGGACAGGAGTGCAGCCGGGTCTCCGCCATGGGGTCTCGGGGTGGGTTACTGCTGGTTGAAGCCGGGGAGAATTGCTCTTGCCAGTGTTGTTATGTCTTTGGGGAGTCCCAGAAAAACTGCTCAGAAGTGAGCAGCCAGTGATGGCAGCGAGGGCGCTGAGCTCTGCGGAGCAGCGTGTGCTCCCCAGCCTCGCTCAGCTGCTCCCACTGCGCCCGTGCAAGTGGTTCCCTTTGGCCAAATGCTGCCTCACGCGCTGGAGCTGGTACAAATGCTTTCTTGCCGCCTGTGCCACCCACATGCCTTCCCTGGCCATTTCCCAACCATTCCCCTGCGTGCACTGCTGCTGTGTGCGCAGACCCGGGGGCTGGTGGCAGTGGGAGCACCCTCCTGCCTGACCCTGTCCCTCGTTAGGACGGGCGTCACTCCCCGCACTTCGTTTCTGACAAGGTGGCTCTCCTCGATATTGCAATACACAGAGTTATACTCGCTATCACAAATGAGCTGTTGGCATGGACAAAACCGTATCTGCTGTGTTTTCATTTGCATTGCTGTAAGTGGGGCAGCATTTTTATTATTTCCCGTTTATCTGGGCTATTCTCAAGGTAGCTGGTTGTTCATAAGGCCACTTGTGGAATAATGGCAATAAGGGTAATCCACTTCACGTTGAAGAGAGTGATTTGTATAACAATAACAGTCTTCTGCATTGGCTTTATTTGTTGACTAATCTCTATCTGTCTTTCAAGGATTCTTTTAAACTAGTAAATGAGGATGACAGCACATCAAACGGCAACAAGCCTGTGGCATCCACTCCGGTGCCAGGATCACCATGGTAAGCAAATGCAATCAGACCTGCTAGAAGCCATTTATCAGTGCTGTTTCCCTTGCCAAACATGCATTAGTGGGTCTGGTACGTGGGGAAAATATGCTACCCTGGGTGTTAAGTAGCAATGCTGGGTTCCTGTTCCAGCTTCCACTGGAGCTTTTCCTCATTAATAATACACTTAAGGAAAATGCGGGGAGGCAGCCACAAACACGGTGTGAGCCAGCTCCCTGGGATGTGCGAGGTAAGGGCAGTGTGCTGCAGAGCTCCGGCTCAGCCAGGGACCAGGTCTGGCAGAAGGCAACCGATGGTTTCTCTGTCTGGTTTTGTGGGTGTGCATGGCCGCTTGCCTGCTGTGAGCACAGCTGTGTTTTGCCATGTTCCTTGGGCTCTGCCTCACCGCATCTCACACGTGTCGAGGATCCAGCTTGGGTGGTGCTTGGATGGATCAAAGGGGAAATACAAGATCCGTGAGAAATGTTCTTGCTTTTTAGGGCCAGATCCTCTTTCTCTCCCAGTTATTTCATTGGCAGTGGATGACTCTTACTGTCTTGCAAGATTAGTGTTGATTTCAGGTTGTATCAGTGAAAATAGGTTGTATCTCATGATCCAGGTTTCCTGACCACGTTCCCATTCAGGTAACTACTACATGTTGGGTAACTAAAGCTCTTGTGTCATTTTTAAATAGATAAAAACTTTCTTCACTTTCTGTCCTGAATGGATTTTTTACCTCCTTTACCCATATGCATTCTTATGCTGGATGAAATAATCAGGTTATACTCAGTGGCTGACATCTGTGGGATCTTTGGCTAAGGCACTCCATGTAGACATCAGCCATTATTTGTTACTATTATATTGTGCCATTTTGCAAACCAGTAAGCACAATCCAATGTCCCGCTTAATCTTAACATCATAAATACGTGATTTACATCAATCATTTCTCTTCTTGACAGTTGCTACTTTATGGTGTAGTGCAGAGGAACCATTTGAGTCCAGCAGTATCATAGGCAGGTTATGGTTTCATCCATTCTTACAGAAAAGAGCCATAGTCAGTGGTACCCACAGAGGGATCTCACAGCACCCTCTCTTCTCCAGCAGTGTCTGCTGAGTGGTGAATGGGCAGCTGGTACCTCCACCGAAGTGCAGCACTCTCACATCCAAACTTGTGATATTTTAATCTCTGGAGAAACCTTACATTTCTGGGTTTCCAGAGGACTGTTTAGTGACCCAGTGAGTACTCCGGGTACAAGAAAAGGCATCCAAATCTGGTCCTTGGGACCAGAGGAATGGGGCATAGTACTCATGCTGACAGTTGTCCCATGTTCTGAGGTGACAACGTCTTGTTTGCCCCATGGCTCATGATGGAGCATGGAGCATGCCTGTAGGGTGCTTCAGTCACAATTTACAAATTTTTCTGATAGGTTGAAACTAGATATGCAACACAAATTCAACAAATCCTGAATTTACTTCAACCACTCCCCACCCGTAGGTTGATTCTATGCTTCTGCAGGACCCATGGTTGATGTGACATCACCAAGTACCATTTAGAAGTAGCTAGACCATAATTTTTAATGGCAGAAAAATTTTCAGGAATGTTACCAAACCTTACCTACTTTATGAAATAAAATAAAATACTAATATCATCATCTTGTGCCCTTACTCATACATAAATTACAATTTTCTAAAGGGGAAACATGAACATAATAATATCTGCATTTCCAGTTTGTGCTCTGTGACTGAAACAAAATACCATGCATGCCCTGTGGATAACTGAAACCGTTATTATACCGAAAAGGAACAGGTGACATGGTACATGGGGAAAGGGACATTAATTTTAAATTAAATGTCAAATTATATTAGTCATGGAAAAGTGAAGTGGTGTCATGAGGGACCCCAGAGTTTCTAACCTAGGGTGATGGCACGTGAGACCTGGTGATACTCAGTGATTAATGAGCACCATCAACATCTGTGTGCGTGGCCAGAGGAGCAGTGAGCACAGCAGCGTACCAGCAGAGACAAAACACACGTTTCCAAACCCCCTGGTTATAATCTCTGTCAAATAATGGCTTCGACAGTCCTGTGTGCATGAGGTAGCATTGCAGATCCCAAAGATGATACTGGTTTCAAGTTTACCATCATTTGCAACTAATTCCCCAAGCGGTTCAAATTCTGCAGCGTGCTTACTTGCCAATGAAAGAAATTACAGCAAGGGGCATTTCAAAGCAGGCATTGACTTCTGGGCAGGATTGGGCCTGCGTCCTGACTGTAATTTGAATATTTAATAAAAGGATAACAATAACCTATTTATATTAATCAGCTAAGTCTGTCCTCTTCACCTAAATGCCAGGATCTTTTTCCCTTCCTTCCGGGACAACTGTGGTATTTATGGGAGTCTTGGTTTGGAAGTGTTCCTGTAGAAGTCCCTCTTGGTGTGTTCTGCAGAAGAGGCTTGGGGCTGGTGGGCCAGTGTTTCTGGGAGAACAGAAGTCCCCGTAGCTCCAAGGTACAAAGTAAGAACTCGTAACTATACCTAATCATTGCCTAACAGAGGATTAGAGCATCTATCTGTCTTCCGAGGCTGTTTTGTGATCCAAAACATTTGTGCATTAAAATAAACAGAAAATTATTAAAGTATTTGTCATGTCCGTGTCACTGAATTCAGTATGCCAAAACTTCTATGGGGTGTAACTGTGACTGGAGTCAATGGCTGGGTTTGTACAACCAATTCTGTGCTCCTGTTCATCGGGAGAACATTTAACTCTGCTGAACATAATTACTGTGATGTTCAGGCTCAGTAACACACTTACACCGAACTGCTCCCGGCACCCTGCAGCTCCCTCCACAGTTTCTTACAGAGGTTATGTATTTTTCATTACATGTTTGGGCAAGATCAGTGGTGATGTCTTACCAGTGGTACACAGAGTATGTTGGATTATCTTATTACAGTACTCCGCAGTGATGGAGCATTTTTCATATTTGCAGTCTTTTGCCCAGACCAGACTTTTTTTAAAACAGTTTTGTTCCCTGCTTTTAATAACAGTTAAGCAGCAGAACTTCTAATGAGAAGATTTGTTCCTTCCAGGTATTTATGCTTCAGAGTGACCAACATTTTCCCCATTATAACTGTGTGTGTGTGTGTAAGTCAGAGTGTGTATATGGTGTTTGTTAGTTTTCATTACGATTCAGAAAGTGCGGGCTTGAGATTGATACTGTGTTTGTTTATTTACATATAGATACAGTGAAGTACAACTTGAGATTTTTGAGTGTCTATTAACGATGGTGCGATACTTATATTATTTTAGCTGATTTAAAGTGAATGTCAGGACAAAAAGTTGAACTGCTGTCATGCGTATTTTAACTGACCAAGTCAAGAAACTGTGGTTTGTACAGCAGCGACTTGGTCACATTTTTCAAATTTGAAACAGAGTCCATAAAAATGAACCTAAACCTCTGTGGCAGACTTCTGTGGTGGCTGGTTGTACCTGTCCAGCGCAGAGCGTGGTGGGAGCCGGCTGGGATGCCCCAGGGGTGCCACAGGGATGCCAGTGGGATGCCATGGTTACACCTCCTCCCACCAGCACAGCCAGATAAGGCTCCCGTGGCCACCTGCCAGCAGCAGGCACAACTGCAGCCCGTGGGCATCGAGGCCATGGCCACCCAGCCCTGGCCTGTGGGCACTGAGGCCATGGTTGCCCAGCCCCGCTGCTGAGGCTTATGCCGCTTGCTGGTCTCAGCCACGGCTTTAGAACATAAAATGAATTTTTCTATGGCTTCTCTTGCTGTGAGCACCACGGCGTTCCTCCTCGCCTGGTTCTTTTTCCCTTCTGTGATGGAATATTTCACCTACTGCTTTTTTGGGGTGTTTAGACCATTTCTATGACGTTTTATTGATACAGAAAGTGTTTCTCTACCTGAGATGACTGGTGGGGGCTGGCAGGGCCTGGGGCAGGCTGTCAGTCAGAGAGGAGTCTCATCCAGGCACTGCAAACAGAGATGCAATAAGCCAGCTGCGGGTTAATTTCTTGTTTGTGGGTGTATTTGACATTATCTAAGCACAGTTTATCACTTGGAATAGGTGTGTAGTCTGGACTGGAGATGACCGGGTCTTCTTCTTCAACCCTACAATGCAGCTGTCAGTCTGGGAGAAGCCAGTGGACCTGAAGCACCGCGGCGACATAAACCGGATCATCGAGGATCCTCCTCACAAGCGCAAGCTTGAAGCTGCAGCAAGTAACTAAAGCCCTGTGATTATTTGCCTCTATTTAAACTCAAATGTCGAATGAAACTTGGTCGCTAAATATGTTCAGTGAAAGTTTGATAACCATAATTAGAAGGGTTTTCCTTTTGGGATTTCGTATAAATTGTGTTAAAATTGATGTTTATTGCAAAATCCTTATTTTCACTGAAATGCTGAATTGGGGGTTAGAGCATTCTCATTATTGGCAGTGAAGAAACAGGTGGCTTCTTATATTGGATGAATCTTTGATGTATAAAATACATCTCAGAAGACGCTGTCTTTATGTTTTGTTACACTTATTTCCAAGATGTACATTAGGAATGCATTACCAATGCATTATTCAGCTGTTACGCAAAAGCAGACGCTCGATAGCTAACGATTATCCAACCAAGTTGTAGAGGGCAGAAAAAATCCCAATAGTAAATCTCTAATGAGTCCTAAAAGGTTTGGTGGAAACGTGGGTGCTTCCATCTAAACATGACTCTGCCAGTCACCTTCTAAACACTGGATTCCTGAAGGGGACAGTTGTGGCTAAAGAATAACTGCTGATCTGCAGTAATACAAGTTAAGTGGTTCAAAATGCAGTTGAAAAGACACCCCTTGGCTTGTCAGTGATCCAAGGTGTTTGCTATCTGGTCCTCCCCAAAACAGCCAGTTCGCAGTGGCAGTTTTCCCAACCTGACTTTCCCATCCCATGCTCCTTGCCATGCCATCGTTTTGGTCTGCTATCCATACCTTAGTTGTTCAGTCCAGATTTTGTCTGTGCTGATGACCAGTCCTGGAGCAGCCCAGCATGCCAGCCTGTGCTTGCCAGTGCGATAGTGGCTCCATAGTTTGTTCCACCACATTTCTCTCCAAAGTTTATGTTTCACCAGTTTTTGTGGTCTCCCTGTTACTGGGAACTGCTCCATGCTGTGTCAGTCCTCCTTTTATTTCCTGATGCTTTACATTGGCTTTCATGTGGGAGCTGTGTCAATAAGACCTGCCATTACCGGGAGGACATCTAGATGCACGGCAGTCATTTGAAATACTGCTTGTCTTGATTAGCTGCTTGTTATTCTTGAATATTCTGCTTTACAGCAGTTTCACTGGAGAGCCTCCTTCAGCTGATGCCTGTTCTTTAGTGGTGAGGTCTAGAAAAATGGAGGGAGAAAAAAGAGACTTTTATCATTCTTTAAAAGTGTAGTATTGTATAACTGAAAATAAGGTAGCACTGCCAGTCTCTTGAAGTGACCTGCCTTTTACACTCAGGCCATCGGGGGCTGTAATGTACGCTTTGATCCACAGGTAGAACTCCCAATTAACTACCGCAAAACAGGGGCTGTGAGCGTGCATTTCTGGACTTGAAACACTATGTCTGCAGGTAGATAAAAATGAGTGGTAAATCAGGATTTATGTCATCAGTATTAGCAGCAGGTTACTGAAGAAAAGCTACAGAGAGTGGTCTTCTATTAGTGTATTCCTTATCAACTTATAATGTCATTACATTTTCAATATAAATTTCAATCGTCAGATGCTTGTATATATATCATTTTTGTATATGGCTTGAATAACTTTAGCTGTATATCTAATAATTCCAAAGTGTATCTGCATATGTTTTTTATTACAGGCTATATTGAAAGATCAATTAATTACTGACAAGGGGGAATGATGGCCAAAGACAAAACTAGGGTCATTGTTCATGGTCTATAATTAATTAATGAGAAGAGCCTAAAGTCACTGATGATACGTGCCACTTCAAAAATCTGTGTTTTGCTGTGTGTTCCATCCTTTTTATTTATTATCTATAAGTAGCACCAAGATTTGATTCATGCACCAGTTTCTTTATGACCATGGTTTTCATTGTTGCTAATAGTCTTCATCTTCCTTGATATAATTGGGACTTGTGGTTGCTCAGTATTTGAGACAGTCAGGTTATAATTAGTATATATTAGCTGCTGAGGTGAAAGGAATTATTTGTTACCATTTCTCTTAGCTTGTAATCTCGAGTAAATAAATAACACAAATGAGCTGTGTGTTTGCAACAATGGTTGCCACATTTATTTAGCTTAGTTGCTGCCACTGAGTTTTAATTAGAATTTTTAAATCAAAGGCACAAAAAAAGTTGGCAAGCATAGTTATTCATGGGGTGCTATAGGTTATCTGCGCATCACTCCGCTGAAAGATCAAGTGCATTTATAATTTAGGCATAAATGAAAAATTACTCATTTATCAATTACTCCGCCTCCACAAAGTATTAGTTCTTAAGGAGATTTATGAAGGTGTCATGGCTCTTTACTAATGGGTTCCCATCAGGACATCCTGTGGAATCGGGGAGGAGGAGCAGCTCCTCCTGTGCCTCCGGAGCAGCTGCACGGGCATCTCTGCTGTGGTAGAGCAGCTCTCGGCCAGCACCACCCCAGCCCCTCCAACGGGGACGTCACCTGGGTGAAGGGACCCACCGCTGACCAGACACAGGGCCAGGACAGAGACGGCGTTTCCAGGACTTTCATACCTTGATCTTCTATGTTCCCAAGTCAGAGCTGTCTGACAGCAGAGTGCAACATCTTCTGGTGACAGCTCTCTCTTCTTGTCCCTGACTGTCATTACTCCTCTGTCTTAGTATGGTCACAGACTGACCATAATATCCCTGTTTTCCCTCAAAGATTCCTTAAAATGTTTCTGTCTTACTGCAATGGAGAAAAACATTTTTATCTATTCCTGTTCCTCCACCTGCTAAATGGTTGGTCTGGATGTTTAGGCTGAGGAAGCTATTTTCTCAGATAATTAAAAGAAAACTGACGTTCTGAGTACAGAAAACAGCATGTTGATTCATACTTGGTATGATCCCTGTTCAAAACCAGTTATGATTTAGTTTACTCTGTCCCACAAATATTTTGGACCCTTTAGCATTCAGACAAAAATATGAAGCACGGTTCCTAGAAACAGCATAGGTAAGCTCCTAGGCTTATGTGTAATACACGGGTGCCAGGTCTCTCTACAAAATTGCAAATCAGATTTTTGCATGTGGCCAATGGATTGACAACACTTTAACTCACCTGGTAAATGCTGGTGTTTCCTCTTTGTTCTGGAAAATGAACCAGAATTTGTGACATGGCTGGGGTTAGCTGAATGGTTTAATTAATCAGCACTAAGCTTGGTAGACCATCAGATGGGGGCAGTGCTCCGCTTCATGATTTCATGGAAAGATTACTGTCAAGTAATATTCTTCCTCAAAGCTTTAAATCAATTATTAGATTTTGTGCTCGGCTGCCTCTCTTTCCTTTCAAAGTCAGTTTATAATCTTACCAGAGGTCCAGTGATGTGATTCAGTAGGTTCCTGAGTGAGAGTATAGATACCATTTGTCATGTTTTACTGAGTTTTCCGTTGCACTGAAATTTTAAGTGATGATGCTGACTCTAATCTTGTCCCATTTGTCCAAGACAGTATACCCGTAGCAGTCACTCATGCAGGCAAAGCGAGAAGGAATTGGTGTCCCTCCCTCAGGGAGGCTGTCATTGCTCTCTGGGAGAACCTGAGGTGTGTCAGGAACCAGCAGATGGAAGTAAACACTGAAATCAGGGTGTACTGTATCACATTTCTTTTATCTGAAGGCTATATGGTAGCTAAGATTTGGTTTTATAAATGCCCAGTTCACGTATTTTTCACAACAAAATTTAAAAATTATATATGCTTTTCAGAAATCTGTGAAAGATCTTATTTTCACAACAAAATTTAAAAATTATATATACTTTTTAGAAATCTGTGAAAGATCTTGTCGTAAGATGGCTTCAAATTTGAGTTCACTTTCAAGTAGCTGGAGAACTTCACATAATCGTTTGCCATGACCAGTGAGTTTTCTCTTGTCCTGTGGAAATGTCGAACAGGAAAGGCTCACTGCGTGGGCCAGGCTTCTCACCGCTTGCTTGCTTTACTAAAAGAACAGCCCATCAGGATTCATAATGTCTGAGCGTACCACAATGTATGTCCTTTAGCCGGCTCTGGAAAGGCTGTCTATGGCGTGTGACAAATGCAGGAGGTGCCCCGCGGACATGGCTTTTTCTTTTATTTTCTTTAATAGTGGTGAAATTTGGTAGGAATAGGACGGTGCTTGCCCAGTCAGCACTGAACCTAGAGACATCTTTAACTTCATTTCTCTCTGAAAACACCATCAAGTACTCTGTCATTTCATATTATTACCTTCAGAATTCATTAAACTTAAGACCACCGCTGCCTCCGCAGGTTGTTCAACTCCTGATTAATAGCTTTATAATATCTCTGTTGAATTACATTCCACCTTCTGAGTTTACAGGTTGTTTTTCCTATTACTTTGTATTTTTAATTTAGTAACCCAAAGAAGAATTTAGCAAGAAGACGTAGTAGTTCCAGTGAATTTATGTATATTTAAAGCATTATTAAATTCATTTATGTATTCATAATGCTCGTATATTGTCAGGAATGTTGAGTTCAAACTATCCTTATTTTGGAATGCCATTCATTTCTCCTTATTATCATTTTAAGTTGTAGTTAGTAAGGTGTCCATTTGCACCTGCTGTGTATTTCCTCCTTATGCGGTCTCTGTTCCTGGTCTTCCCACGCCGCAATGTTACAGCTGCTATTTTTTTTTTATCATTCCTTTTGCAGTGATTTAGTGTATGCTGTGTTCATGCACTTAAGATAAATAAAAGGTAACATTTACTGAAAGCATGCTAATAAACATGGTTTTTTTAAGGAAATTTCCTTAAAATAGGGAAACAAAATGAGCTAAAAACAACATTCTTAAATTGAAACTTGAAATAAATAGCCAAATTTCTGTTAGCTTCAATGATATGAAGATTGGACCTGGACAAGTAACAGGCACTTGAAATAAGTTTATAATAAATTTCCAGATACCCACTGTTGTCTATTTGTGTTCAGTCATTTTCTAGCATATCTCTTGGGAGTTTCATCTGATTTCAGGAAGATCAGACCTCACCATATCAAGTTATTCAAACCATTCAAACCTTTTATCTCCATAAACAAAGTTCAATTTTATATTTATTTTTAATTTATTTTTTCATAGTTTCCTAAATAGCAAGACATGTCTTCATTACCAGTCTAATACAAAAAGGATGAGGTTCGGTGTTTCTGATATTCCCAAGCTAATCACATACAGTTCGATTTTTATATTTCTCAACTAATTCATGGTGAACTACTGAAGAGTCCCCGACACAAACCAAGCACTGGGTGGACATGACTTCTGGTGGTCTGTCCATTTGAATGTTGATGAAAACTGCAGTTTGTATACATGAAAAAAAATTTCAGATCCCAGAACTAAACATCTGTTCCATATGCTTCACGTTTGTTACGACTGACAATGCAACCTCAGAGTCCTTCAAGGGCGAGTGTCCAGGCCAAACCAGGAATGTAACGTTGCTTTGGAGTTACCGTTTGCAACACCGTGAATGTGGAGGTTGTTGGTATCTCCATAGCCTTGCTATACTGGTGGTTGACTTTCTGGAAAAGCAGCATTATATTTGCTTATAAAAGAAAGAGAAATGGGCTAAGGAGGGAAGTTCTGCTGTGAATTAACACTATTGAATCCTTCAGGCTGCCAGGACTGAAATAATTTTGCAGAAGTGTCTTTGTAGTTGTATTTTTAAGGGAAGGGAGGAGGGAGTATCAGGTGCAACAATAACAAGATTTAAATAAAATCGTGTCACAAATGGACAATGAACAATTTTGTTCACAACATGAACAGTGAGCGATTTTTCAGAATGAAAATGGTTGGTTTTATTGCTAACTCTTTCATTTGGATGAAGGTGTTTCTGAGGATCTGATGAAATATGTGTTATTTTTAAAACACTCTGTGGAGAGTGAAAAATAGTGAATACCTGAGCAGTGGCCAAAGACAAAAAATGAAAGGTTAATCTGAGGAATTTGTATTCCCATTTATCTAGTTCAAATCTAATAACTATTTATTTCTTTTTAGCAGATAAATGTGTTAGTTCTTGTCCAGGGGATGAAAATGATGATCTTAGCATCAAAACTAAGAGAAATAAGTAAGTTCTAAAGTTTACTTATCTATATTTAATGTTTGGAAGCTAACGTCTGGTACAAATAAGTGCAAAGAGAAATACAATTCTTTTCTTCTGTATGGATAACTTCAGCAATAAATTATGAGAGTCATTCCTAAGGTATCCAACTATTTTGTCTGAGTAACTCTTACATACTTTGAAATGGTTAAAAAAAGACTGTATGGATAAGTAGTTATTTCAAAGTTATTGGATAAAAGCTTTATCTTCATTGATGTGAAGCAGATTTTTTTTCACTGGTGTCAGGGTTTCCAGGCTACTGGCTCAGAAATATCCGGAGGTATTTCTGTTACTGTGCTTTTATTTGACCTTTATTACCATGTGTGTTTCAAATTTTCATGAAGTAACAGGCAAAAAACCCGTGCCAAATAAGCAACTCCCTCACCCTTTGCCAAAACAGCAAGAAAATGAAGTAAACACTTCTGTTTTAAGTACCTTAAAGACATTTCATTCTATTTAACCTTTGGCCGGTAACTGCATATAGCATTAGCTGTTGATGCGGGCTGGCTATGATTAAGATACTGGTTTGGACCATTAAAAAAATAAGTCTGTAAAATAAATCTGCATAGAGACTGTGTTATATTTTTGAGGGCATTGTGCCGAGTAAGCACAACAAATTTCTGTATTTTCCAAGTGAATATATTGAAGATAATTCTATTCTCTCTTATATTGTCATTCTTATCCTCCTACATTGGATGGTTCTTTTGACCTTGTTAAGACTTTCTGTGGATTTGTATTATTATGAAGGGAAGAATAAGATACTCTGAGTTCAATACTCAGACTATTTAAGTGTTTAATGCTTGGTATAAAAGAGTATACTTTATATATGCTAAATATGTACTTTCACTCTTTACGTAGTATTTAGTTTTTATAAACAGTATAAAAGTTTATATTTAGTGTAAAAGTATTTAAGAATAGTTCTATTGATATCAGTGGGTCTGACAATAATAGGCCGGTATTGTGACCTGTGCTATTAAGATGATTCCTTTCAGTGATTGGTTGAGAAAATGTGAAAACGTCTTTCCATTAATGTACGTAAATAAAATTCTAAAACTCCAGAATCTTGTTCATAGAATTCCAGAAAAATGCACTTATTCAGAGAGTACTGTATCACAGTAGTCTTGGGCTTACTGTGCCGTGTGTCGGAAGGTCAGGCAGTGCCTCTTTCACTGTCTACTTGTGAATAAGGAATATTGTCTCATTTTCACTGGGTTTACATGACTTATTCACTTGAAAGACTAACTTCGGGTTTTGTAGTCTCTTATTTTCTTTACACTGAAAAGGACGTTGTCAAAATTATGAGACCCAAATATGGACCATCTTTTTATATATTTGCAGAATTTATATTTTATTATTAACTTGCAGAAATCCATTTTCATATACATATTTTTTCCCCGAAGCAAGTAGGTAAATACAGTTCAAGCTGGGCAATCTCAGCCCATCGCAGAGTTGCTGCATGATTCTCCTGCCTTAATGCATTGTAGCATCTTTCTTGTGGTATATATTTATAGATAGGTATATATACATATATAAGCATAAATCGTGCAGCCATCTAGCTAAAAGTTCAATCATGTCAGAAATCCCGCAGCATGGTGGCAAGCACCTCCGATTGCCAGCAATGCCTGCTGCGGTATGGGCAGCAAAACGGCGCCGTGGTGTCCACCAGTGCTGCGAAGGCATCTCGCATGGAGAAGAGCATTCACGGGACGGGAAGGCATCCTTTGGGTCTTGAAAAGGTCATTTGAGTCATAGGCAATACAAACTACTCTCAGCTGTGACTTTATGCCACCAAAGTTAAATAGCGCATGATAATGAATGTATATCACCTGCTGTTTATGTCGTCATTTGTCTTTATATTATGCTATATTTATGTATGGTATAACAAATAATACAACTTTTATCATACTTGAGATTTGTGGCAAGATATGTATTGAGAGGATATTTAAAGCTCTGAGAACCCTATCGTAAGTTCTATCTTTAAAAATAAATCTTTAGATTAGTAGCAAGCGATTCTTATTTGCTGTATTTGGGCAGTTAGTCCTATGAAAGTCAAGGGCAGCATTCACATAATAAACAAGTAAGATTTGGCTTGACAACACAGCATTTTCTCAGACTTCATTGTGATGATCCCAATTCCCCAGAAGTTTGACCTGTCACCAAAAAGCCGTAAAGTGTTTATTTTTCTGTCAGCGCAACATACATCCCCAAACTACTACAGGATTTCTACAGCCTTTTTTAATTTTAAATTCTCTTTTATAACATGTGAAGATCTGGCATTTTGCTTTGTACCCTGAAACAATGGCAGAATATAGAGGTTCATGGATGGACCTTTAAAATACTGACCTTTTACTAAAGAAATGCAGTCTAAGTGCTTGTTTAAATGTATTAATATTAGACTATAGATAACAGTTCATGACATAAAAAAGTAAAATATTGTAGGATTTGCATTTCAAACTAGAATTTAGTTATCCTCAGGATGAAAGTCATGTATAAACTCTTTTGCTATTCTAAGATTGTTTTCGTTAATGTGATTGAGATATCCCACTGGAGATTGTGTGGTACCATCTCAGCTGGGTATCCACTGCAGCGGGCAACCTCCCATCTCTGCAGCTGAGACCTAGTAATGGCTGTTTGCACAGCAGTTAGAATTGCTGCTGCCATCAGTGTTTGGAACTGATATTATTGTTTCTAAGTGCTGTGGGTCTCAGTTGCCTACATCTGTGTGTGTCTGAATTAGTCAGCCAAAAGCAGAACTGATTTAAAAACTGTGGCCCGTAATTCCTTGTAAGAAAAGCAGCTGAGTTGCTCTGTGCCATAAACAGCAAAAGGGGAATTCTCAAGATGTAGAGTCTACTAAAGTGCTGGTTAAGCTCTGAGTTTTGGATAAGAGAATACACATCATCAGCTTTTCATCTTCCAAGCTGCATGTACAAGGTCCAAATCTGACTTTCTGTTTCCTCTGCTTTGTTTTACTTGGGAATGGACACTCCAGACTGAATCCAGAGGTGAAAAAAGATTTGTCTTTACAGAAAACTAAACAAATTTTCATTTTGGTGCTGGACAGACAGAAAAACTATTTATATTGTTGTCATATACACATTAATAGTTGCATATGAAGACAGCGAATGTTTTCCTACATTTAACAGAGAATGCTGTTGGGAGGTAGGGAGCACTATCATCCCGCCGTACCATGATGCTCTGAGCTTCTGTCCCCTGCAGGTGCCCGGGCAGCTGGGCTGGATGGTCACACCGGGGCCAGGAGTCCCCTGGAGCCCAGCCCCGCACTGTGCAGGCAGGCAACATTGGCTCAGCACGCTGCGTTCCTGCACCGGGCAGGGCTCGGCATGCACAGAGATCCACTGCAAGTGGAAGGCAGGTTGCAGCTGGACATTCACAGCCCTGCACCTGACATCTGCAGCAGAACGGGGAATTGAACCCCATTTTTACCCCTGCACAGCCATTACCCACTTATGTTTGCAATATCAACATTTTTTCTTGGTTAAGTATAACTAAAAAAGGAGGTGTTACATGCTTTCAGGGTTTGTTTTTAAATATGCTGTATATCCTATTCTATTTTATTTAAGTAAAGTTACTTAGTAAATCATATTGTTCCTTTGACATACAGTAAATCATCCGCTATACAGAAAGTGCTGTGCTAATGATAAGATCTAATTGCATCAAAGATGCAGCACAACTCTTTATAATGCAACTAGAGGGTCATCACACAAAGGTTCACATTGGATCACCAATTCACATTGGTAAGAACAGACCTGCTATTTCGCTTCTCCTACTGTTTGCTTTGGTGACAGAGCTAGCAGAGGACCTGACCCAAAGCTGGCTGCAGAAGATAGCAGGACTCCTTTCTCTCGTGGACATTTGCACAACCTCTGTCCAGTGCTTCCAGCCAGAATCTGCATCTGCAGGTTTAGGAGCTCTGGGCTCCACAAGCTGCTGTTGCACTTTTATTTACATTTTGTTGGGGTATAATGAAACTGCTTAAAAATTCTGAAGTCAAATCTTCCTCGGGCAATGTTCTGTTTGTACTCTCTACAAGAGAAAAACAATCTTCAGAGAAACTTAGGTTTTCTGGGTGTTCTTCACAGAATGACAGAAGGGCTCGGGGGTCTCTGTCCCACCGCGCTCCCAGCAGGTCGCACAGGGACCTGTCCAGGCGGGTTTGAGCATCTCCAAGGATGGAGCCCCACAACCTCCCTGGGCAGCCTGCCCCAGTGTCTGACCATCCTCACAGTAAAAAAGCTTTTTCTTACGCTTAGATGGATTTCCCTGTATTTCAGTTTGTGCCCATTGTCTCTTCTTTCAGTGGGTACCACAGTTATATACAAACGTCTCACTGCCCTATCCATTTTGAGATTTGCAGGCTTTCAAGATTGTGCTGGTAGGCTGCACATACGTGTCCAAGTAGGAAGTCACATAGTTTGTTGTGCAGGTTATTGTAGTATTTGCTAAAGAAAATTGTATTCTTCATTGTCATTTTTGGCACGAGAAAGAAGTCTGTGATTTGCAGCATCATTTTCAATTGCGTAAGGACGACTGAAGGAAAGAGTGGCTCTTCTGGTGCTTGGTGGGTGGAGTAGTGTACTGTATTTCTCTCAGTTTTGGCTTGAAAAAGCTCTTTGTGTGTACTAGAAATGGGATTGGGCCGTTCATGGATCATGTCACAGAATAAAATTTGCTATTACGATATAAAAGTCACTGTCATTCTGTGAAGAACACCAATTTGATATCTCTCAAATCACTAGTAATACAGCATCATTTTAGGATAAATGTAAGTGTAATGCAATTATTTGTATAAGGAAAATAATATGCTAGAGCTCACGTTACATACTGATCTAATTCATTTACTTAGAAATAAAAAAGTGTTTTCCTGTTGAAATTTCAAACTAAGTATTATTCTGTAGTGGTGAAAATTGCATCAGTAGAAAATGCAGTCATGCCTCGTAGGAGGCTAAAAATCGAATCGTCTTACTGTCATTACCCTTACTTGAACCTTGCGATCATGTTAAGACTCCTGATCTTTCCAGAAGGAGCCTTAATTTGTACTGAACTCATTCATTGCTCAGAGCATTAAGAAACAGCAGGATGGACCCAGAGCAGAAGTCTGATTTCAAGGTCTGAGTTGGCCAACTTCTCTGAAGTCAGGAGTTTCATATCCCCATCTCAAATCCCATCACCCTCCTGGAGCAGACTCCTTCCTACCTTTGAGGTTCCCATCTAATTAACCTCTCCCTGCAGATGCTGAGGGCCCACGGGGCACATCTTCAGCCCTCCGAACAGTGGGGAAATAGGTGTTTGCTTCCAGCGCTGTGAGAGTACAGTGTTAATGGTCTCTAATTCTGATAAAATTATGTAGATATTTATCTGGTGTGAAACAGTTCAGCTCCAGTGATGACACCAATTATGTAGGATATGAGGAGAGCGTCACTCTTACACTGCTGCCACTTTATGGTTGCAACTTGCAGTAAACTGTCCTTTCCTGAAATGAGCACAGCGATGCTACGTACGTGCCTTTATCCAGGGGGTCTTGTAGGCGAAGGGACTCAGGCAATACGTAGTAAGTATTTTCTCAGAAACACCTATTTATTCTAATCAGATGCGATCTTGGAAAAAGGCTGTCGGGATAAATACAGACCTTCTGGCACTGGCAAAGGGCAGGTTCTTCGCTGATGCTTTATTACAGGTTTGTGCAAGCGACACATTGCCAGATTACTTCCCTTAGGAGTGAGCTCGTGGGGTGCATGGGAACATAAAATAAAGATTAGTGTTGACTTTCAAGTCTGAGGGCACAAAAACAGGAAAGAAAAATAAAACAAGATGAGTCTCTTCAGTCACTCCTTTAAAGTCTCCACTCCTTGAAAAATTTTATATAAAGCTGTCACTTTTCTGTAGCTTGAAATATAGCATAGTATTTCGCTGCTGAGTTCCTCTTTGATCACACCGATAGACCATCCTTCCACATAACGAGCTGTTGGAGGTCCCTTGGCAGGGCCCTCAAGCCCCGTGGTTTAATAATGAACTGCAGGTTTGGGTCACTTCTCAGCTGTCAGCGTCTGCTCCCTGGCTGCTCTGTGCACACGAAGAAGTCCTGCCGTCCTGGAGGATTTTCTAGAGAGGGTTAAAATTCCCCTCCCGAGTTGACAATTGCTGAACTATTTTCTCTCTTACCTTGTTAAAGAACAGAAGATTCCCAAGCTGCTGACCAGGAGAATGCTGAAACGGAGGAGAAAAATGAGGAAACATCAGCACCTCAGATCACGCCTCCCCTAGAAGAACGCATCAGTCATTTCCGAGACATGCTTCTGGAGAGAGGGGTAAGAAATGCGCTTGCTTTCTCTGACATATCTCATTTATGAAAATAGGGCATCATCTGGGACCACTACAGGAATCATTTCATAACTATGACTTAGCAGTCAAAGGAAGAATTATTGAGAGGGGTTTTTCTGTCTGTTAACCATGTAGGCTTTGTGGTACTTTACTGTGACTTTTCTTCTGGCTGTGCAGAACTGACAGCACTTTACAGGTGCAGTTCCAAATAAATTCCTATAGACAGACCCAAAGATAACCAGAGGCGGTAGCTCCTCCCGCGCAGACCAGTGGCTCAGCAGGGCATGGGGACCATAGCCACACGCCATCCTGGGCGTCCCGCACGGACCCCAGAAGCGTTTGTTACGTGATGAGCAGAGGGTGAAAGATGTGTCGTGTGTATCACCTGAAAGACAACACCAGGCTCAGAAACATTCCTGGCAAGCTCTTTGCTTTTTTTTGGCATGGGAGAGGTTTCATCACCGCAAACGCCAATGATCCCAGCAGTGGGAAGCCAAATTCACTTACTGGCCATCCGAAATCTGCCCAGTCTGTTACAAAAGGACGTACTGGAGTCTCAGGAGGGTTAAGAAAACCTGCCCTTTTCACCGGACCTCCCCGACTGTCCTTGGACTTCCTTGAGAAGAGCTGGTAGTTCCAGCTGAGGCTGAGGTGCAGGAGCGTGGGATGCTCGGGGCTTTGGGCTGAACAGGGACAAGAAGAGGTGATCCCTCTGCAGCCAGCCAGGCGAGAGCACCTGGAGCATGGTTCCCTCCCGCATCCAGGCCAGCGCAGACCTGGCAGCTGCGGAGCTGGTACAGGTTACGGGAGGGCTCAGAGTTATTGCAGCCATTTTACCATGACCTAATCAAGATTATGAGTCAATAGATGAAGCATAAATTCAATTTGCAGATAGAGCCCATCAGCGCTATGAGCCTCATGACCAATGGTGAAATATGAATTACAGATCGCGTAATAGCATCCGGTGACTAATTTTGTAAAGAGCATCAGCCTGATTTTTGTTTTCTGTGGTAACACTTACAAACCTGTGTTGAACTGGCTGCATAAAGATTACCGTTGATACAAGCAATTTTGGATACTGTTATTTATAAACATAAAATCACCTCCACAAAAGATCATCTCACAGTGTTCCTTCTTCCAGAGAACTGATGATTTTGAGCATGAGTGGAATTAATAAGCATACCAGGTTTAGGTCCTAATCCTGCGAATGTAAATGAGTACATAATGGAGCAGTGTATGCAGATTTTATACCTCCTTCCAACACTCTGCAAATAGGTATTCTATAGAAGTTCATGTAATTTCTGTAAAGAAAAAAAATCCAAGGTGTCTGTTGTTAGGCATATAAAATTTATCACTAGTAATCAGCAGACTTTAAAGGTAGATAATTAGAGCTTCAGAAGCTCAACAGTAAATTATCTCCACGCCAGACCCACTTTATTAATATATTTTGTTATTTATGCTTAAAGAATGCAGAAGTGCCATAAATGAATACTGGTTGAAGGCTTCTGCTGACATGTTTTAAGTCGGGGCAATAAGTCAAAATTTGAAAGTATTAGGGATGTTTTATAATAGGATTCCTCAAGTGTTTCCAGTGTAAGAGTCAGACTTGCTCATAAAAATAAGAAAATCAGGAAATGTACTGTTTGGTTTTGCTATTATTTAAAAATGTATAGATAATAAGTTACTTTGCTGTCACCCTGAGCATTTTTTAAATGTCCAGACAAGCCGCTGGTTAGCACCAGCTGGTTGGCATTGCTTGAAATGCAGTAAGGCCTTTAGTGTTATTTTAAACTGATTATTTAATGAACGTCTCCTGCCATTTTCTCGTAATGTTGTTATTTCTCGAGAAGTTGCTTGATGACATTACAAAGAGCTTGAACTAGATGGAATTCTTCAGAGTAGTTCTGAATCTTCCTACATAAATTATATCAACGGAAGAATATTTATTGTAACATTTTAAAAATATATGTGATTTTTGGTGTAGCTCCAGAACAATGGCACTATTCTTAAGTCTGTGGCAAGTTTTCCTATGTAAAAATGTAATCTCTGATATCCTCCTGGAAGTTTAAAAGTTTCCACAAAGTCCTGAGGGGAAGGGGAAAATTCAAGCCTCTTCCTGGCTCCCTCACAGCCATGGCATCAAAATATCCACGTTCTACAGTCTGCATTTCTAGGAAAGTCTTGTCTTTGCTGGGATGCTGTCAGTGAAACAAGACTTTTTTAAAGGATTCCAAATGGTATTTTTTCTCAAGATTTTACCTTCTTAATATTGGGGGTAAAAAAGGGGGGTTGAGGGGTCCTAACCCCCACCTTCCTGTCTCGAAACAATTCTTGCAGCGTCCGTGTTATCCTAAAGAATAAATTAAAAAAACGCAAATAAACAGGGGTTTTTTGGGTTTATTTCCCCCAGCCTGTTTTTCAGACAGACCCAAAGAGCCCCCTTCTAGAAGGACAAGCCACTGAATCCCACTTTCTAATATCTTTTAATGAGGGTCATCGGTCGGTTTGGGATGCTGGGAGCGTGTCGGAGCCAGCAGCAGGTGATGACGCGGGGAGGGGCTCCCAGCTCAGGCACAGGGTGGTCCTTGCTTCTGCCGACCCGGGTGCCTCCTCTTAGCCCTTTGCCACTCCATCCTTCTTGCTGGGTTTTGTGTGTTTCGGTAGCTTGTGTCCAGGGTGGACATCATTCTCTACCAGAACAACGTCTCCTGAAAGTTGGGAATCCTTTGCTGATGAAGATAAATGCATCCGCTGAAAATATCAGGCACTTTACCTTTCTTTCTTATAAATCTTTTAGTCAAAGCCAAAATCTCAACATACTATCATTGCTGGGCTTCCAGAGTGAATTAAAAATAAAATCAGCTATTCAGACAGACGTCCTTTCACTTCTAAACATGCTGGTCAAACTCAATACATTGAATTTTTGTGAGTTTTTTCCCTGTACTTTGCACTCTGGTTAAGAGCAGGAGTGGAGAACTGGAAACCCACGACAAGCTCAGATCTCTCTTCTCCTTTTTGTCTGTGGTGATACTGGGCCACAGAAGTCATTATTTATTCTGGGAAGAGATGCCACCCCCACCATCCCCAGTGCATGTGTTCCCTTGTTGAATGTCCCATAGTAGGGAAGAAGACCACAATACAATACATGTTGGGAGATTAGTCAGAATATTAATATTTTATATGCGTTTGCAAAGCTCCAAAGTGAGTATCCTGAACAGCATATGACATGTGTAGCTAGAATTAAATTATAAATATCAGTAGCCAACATTTATTTTAGGTGTATGTCTGCGGTATGTGAAATGTAATAATTACTAAACAAAAAATCATAAATGGGAATGATTACATGATAAATTAGCCTGAGCTTAACTAGCTTTGAGTTCAAACTGGTCTTTGTAGTGGGAGCAAAGCTGATGTTCAAGAGAGAGTATAAAAGACATCCTGAAAAAAAAGAATTCCTGCTGCTGGTCCTTCTGAAGGGGGGAAAACCCCAAACCTCAGGACTTCGCCACCTGCGTGGGCATGGAGGGTGAACCCCAAGCTGCGAGAAGACGACGTTTGGAGGAGGCAGCCCTGAACCACTGCGCATCTGGAAAGTTACCCTGAACCTCGACATTTCTGAGCTTCCAGTGCTAACCACTCTAAAAGGAAACCCAGTCCATTTAAACCCACTTTGCTTCATCAGAGCTTTCCTGTTTGAGTGTTAATTACTCTACTTTAATTATACTTCACATACTTAATTTTTTTAGTGAATTTACTCTTCTTTGTAATGAGATGGAGTGATTAGAATATTTTATGTTACTCCAGAGTTTTCTGTAACAAACTAATTAACAGTGATGTTGTATAAGGTACCGAAATCAGGCTGGGGATTTCAGTGCTATGCTCCCAGACTGCCATTTTGTAAAAGCCCCGGGCAAAGGGGGACTGGGCAAGTGAGGGACCTGCTCAGATTCATGGTGGTCCTTACAGCCCACTCACCGTAAAGAGGTTTTGATGAAGATGGAAGAACCTCTGTAGGAGCGTGATATTCTCATTTCATGTGGCTGCAGGAATGTGAGCGATGCACGAGGCTTGGGTGGACACCCAGGGTCCCACTCCGGAGAGCTGGATTCAGCAGAAAAGGGGAGAAGCCTCGAAATGGAGGAGATGTGACAGCCGTGCTGTTGGAGGGAAGCGGCACATTTGCTACAAAAACATGGTGCTTTGAAGATGTTCATTATTAGTTCTTCAGTGTGTGCATGCATTGACAGCCTCATTTGGGTTATAATTTAAGTTTTGGAGAGGAGGGGAGTTAAAGCTGAGATAATTACTTAAATGGAAATTGATGCTTCTGTTGTACAAAGGGGATAATAAAATGGCATTTTCCTTTCTGCTACAGATTCTTTCCATCAAAAATGTGGAATAATCGTCTCCCAGATACTCACTGAGATGTCCTAGAGGAAATCAATACTAATGGTGTGGGGGTGACCAGAGCATTGCCAGAAACAGATTAATATTCAACTTCCAACCACTCTGAGGCATCCTTTAGAGGGTTCATTAGCTTTCTGAACTACTCTTTTGCTTCACCTTGGAACATTTTCTTCTTTCACGTCCTTATTAAAATTCCTTAATGCAACTGTGTTTGTGTACTTCACAGGTTTCAGCATTTTCTACATGGGAGAAAGAGTTACACAAAATAGTGTTTGATCCACGCTACCTTCTACTAAATTCAGAAGAACGTAAACAGGTGAGCATTACCTCCAGCGTAGCTTCTGATTGGCAGCAAACATCGCCCAAATTAACTGTAATAACAGAGTAATTATCTCGGTGGGATAAAAAGAATTACATAAAATTAAAATTTCTTTTTTGAGTTTTTCAGTGAGACTCATAATTTAGGCTCTGCTCATAAGAAAGTGCTGTCTTCTTTGAAAAGCAAGTGGTAACAAGTGAGTTTGCCCATAGAGACGAGCTACGGTCTCTTGGGTTGTAGAACAACTCCTACTGAGTCTGGGAAACTGGGCTGTAGGAAGGGAAATGGCCATAAGGTAATGTTTCCACTCTGAACTGTTTAAACACTGTAGAGAGACTACTTCATTTTTATTACTTAGAATATTTTCTAGGAGTCTGGCAGTATTTACTGCTATATTTTGCAATAACTAAACTTGCTAGACATAAATGGATAGAGCACTGTGGCTATGCTGGTATCTGTTTGAATGGGTTTAGTTTTTCTGGCAAGCTGCAAAGGGAAGGGGACTTTTTGCTGCCTTGTTTATTTGGGCATTAATTATCACTAGGGACCTAAAAGGACTTGAGGGCTGCAGATTAGTCTAAAAAATTTAGGAGAGATGCAGGGATGTTGCAGAGAAGGTGAATGCTTCCATTCTGTAGTTATTTCTCTTCCTTACCAGTCTTTTGTCATCCTGGAGAAGGAAGAATTTTGAATATGGAATTGTCCATTTTTTAAATAAACACAATGAAAAATGTACTTATTCCTGTTCCATTGCAGTGGGGCCCATATTGTCTTGTGATTCTCCAGAGGGCTTCCTGTAGGTATTTACTGAGGGACTGAGCACATACATCTTCATTTACTCTCTTTCCAATATTTTCTTTCCTAAGAAAAAAAGTGAAATAAAATAATAAGGAAATATGGGAATAAAGATATAAAAGAAACTGCTAGACAAGAGACTAAGCGGGGAATTTTGTGTTTATTTCAGGGAATCAGCGAGGGCAAAACCTAGACCTTGATGAGTTAATCAAGATATATTACTTTTTTCATTTTATTAGCCTTGGAGATGATATAATAAAAATACATCACGAATACACAAAATATAATGTGCTTGAAGCACTGCTGAGGGGGACCTCGTTTGTGGGGTATATTTAAGGAAAGGGTTATGAAAAGCGAGTAGCTGGCAGTCCTGTAGGTAGAAACCTGTAGTCAGGTAGAGGTTGGCTCTGAGAGTGACAGTAATTTGGGCTGAGAGCTAAGGTGGAAGAGGGTGATCGTCAGTTGCTCTTCTGCAAAACAGGGTTAAAAAACCAGTAAGCTTGGGAGCGCATGCCAGGTCTGTAATACATTTTAGCTACTAAGCTTGAAGTTAAGATTTCTAGATGTTCATTGTGAGTAGTGCCATTTAATTAGACCCTATTTTCCTCCAAGAAGTAGTTTAAGAAGAAAGTTAGACTCGGACAAGAGTAGATGCCTGATTTAATGAAAGTACTTCTTGAAGTGCAACTCATTAGTGGAAGACATTATTTAGGTTTATGGAAACATTTACCTTCACGGATGCTGGCTGTGTGGCCTGAATAGTGAGCGTCTGAGTACTTTTTGAATTATGCAAATGAATTTACATTGGAGGGGGTTAGAGATGAAAAGTGGCTCACAATGAAAGTGAAGAATGAATGAAGGAATGAAGGAATGAATGAGTGCTGGAGCATGGCTGGCTGTACTGCAGTTTTCTGCTTTCCATGGTCAGGCGGATAGGTTGGAAAGGGCAGGGAAAGCGTTTTGACTGTGATGTGCAAGCGTTTGAGGGAACTTCCTCTTGACTTGAACTTGTGTTGAGGTGGGTTTGACTTCCAGGAGTGCAAGCTCTGCTGTCGGTGGGTGTCCTTACACAGCCCGAGGAACATAACGATCTGTATTGAACATCTGCGGTTTGCTCCGCTTACTTACCGATATTTTCCGAGGGATTATTAACAGCTGAAAGATGCTACTATGTTTAAGCAAGGAACAGTGAAGGGTAAAGGAACAACTGCATTAAAATAATGAGCTATCTGTTAATTTTGATTTATTACCTTCATAATAGCTTCACTGATACGAAAAAGGCAAGTAATAACAGTGTCACCTACTTTATTTGTTCCATTTTTTCCATCTCCTCTTACAATCAACTTATGCAATTGCATACGGTATAATGTATTTAGATTTCCTAGGTTTTTCATAGTACTTCTTTCATGGCCATTTTTTGTTGTTTACTTTCCCAGTGCTATTTCTTCCCTTTTCCACATACCGTACTAAATATCAGTTGTAATTTGGTTACTTCAGCTTTCATAAAATGTAGATTTGCAGCTGTGCATCTTCATGGCTGATGAGAAAGCAACTGTGGTAGTAACCATACTAATCATATTTAATGTATGTAATTTGTGGTGAAAAGGATGGTGAGTATGGAAAGTTAATAGCATTTTGAGGAGTAGCTCCTTTTATTCAACAACTTAGCGTGCCACGCTTTTTAGAGTGTGAAACCAGTTGGGCCAGATTTTTGGTATTAAAAATGTGATTAAAGCCGTTGGCAGAATTTTGTGACATAGTGAACTCCTTAACTCCTTTTCAAGACACCAAAAATCCTGATGCTGAGCACCCTGCTGCATATTTAGCTACCAAATACTGTTAAAGGAAGGTAGTCGACCTTTCCAAACACATTAAAGCTTTTGGGTGTATGTGTACAGAGGATCATGTGTAAACTTGTGGTTTTTGACAACTGATTTGAAAGGTCTTCAGGCTTTTTGGGGGGTAACCTACAGAATATTGATGTTTAGCGTTACAGACATTTTCAGGAATTCTAGCAAGTTGGGAAAGGTGCGAGATCCAAACTAAATAACTGCAATCCGTTGTACAGATGCACAAAAATAATGCTATAGGCATGAAAATGCGAGCAAGACACTAAAGTCAGGAAATTTTGATTTATGTTGCACTTGATGTTTGAATGAAGATGTTATCTGTCCAAATTATACCTTTTTCCAGCTACTTATTTTGTGAGAACATGATCAGTGCCGCATGAAACAGATTCAGCTGCATGCGAGTCAGCCTACACTGAGGGAGATAAGAACTGTAGGTCGTGAGATTGACAGCCCTTTGGTCAAGCATAAATACCATAAAGGCTTTGTTAATAAATACTGTATCTTGTTTCCCTTTCTTGGAAAGATATTTGAACAGTTTGTCAAGACCAGGATCAGAGAAGAGTACAAAGAAAAGAAAAATAAATTGTTGTTAGCCAAAGAAGAATTTAAAAAGCTCCTTGAAGAATCCAAGTTATCGCCAAGGTATGGCATTGCCTTATGAAGATTTGTTAAGATAAGCTTTCTCGTTTAGCTTGTGCTTATCAGCGCCGTAACGCCGTAACACTGAACATACTCTTTATAGCAAGCTTGTACATCTAGTGTTAGAATGCTGTGTTGATATTTCTTCCCTAATATTTTACGATATTTTGTTATATTACTGGGAAAGGGAACGTACTGTCTCTCTCTCTCTTCCTTTCTGTCTTTCTCATCCAGAATGTGCAATATTTTGCATAACACATTTATTTTATATGCATATATAGTATAATTATAGAACACACACATATACATATTAACTATATAAAATTAGTACCTGAATGTTAAATCTCATTTAGGCATACAGGTGTAACTGGTGAAAAACCGTATTTAGGTTTGTTTTTTGATGGAAGAGAAACATGATTTAACAAAGTTAGTATTAATGCCATATCACTAAATTAAAATAAAGCATGCAATGCAATAACTTATTTTGATTTTTAAGTAATGGATCCAAACCTGCGCAGTAGCGAGTGCAGTGCTTTAGGATAGCACTTGCTCATTTGTAAGTTACATGAAAATAAAGAGGTTTGTATGTTGTAAGTCTGGTTAAATTGTCGAAACTAAGAAATTACAGTTTTCTCTACTAAAATATGCAGGTAATTGTACAGCACTACCTGCCTAGACACGTAGATACAAACAACACATCAGGCTCTATGGAAGTAATAATTATGAGAAGTTTTTTTACCACAAAACTGAGAATATTCTGGGCTAACGCAGCAGCTAAATGCTGGTTCCGGCATTTGTTTTTTTCATGTTTTCATGAAAACATTCCATGTTTTCAGTCTGCAAGGGCAAAATCGTGCTGGCCTACAGGACAGAGAACATTTTACCGGTTAATGTTTTTGTTGAGCTAACTGTGAGACCACAGCATCAAAGAAACTCATCTACCTGCAGTAGTCTCTGGCTTGGTTTTAATATGCAATCAAATGCCATGTTTGTATTGGAAAATGCTGGACCTGACAATGAAATGCTCAGGCAAAGCTGCCGGTGGATTTCAATTGCATCACTCAAAGTTACAATTAATTTTTTGCTATTTTTAGAAAAGATCAAACTAGCGTGGTATTTCATCAGGTGTCGTGTACTACTGACAGTCAAAGTGCATTTGTTTGCAATTAGACGTGGGTGTGGTCTTCTGCTCTATTATAGGCTAATTATTGAAATACTAGCCATAAGTAGCAGCAGGCATAGATTAAAGCTGCAGTAACCTGTGCTGCAGCAAGTACTGTGTTAATGATTCAAAATTGTCCTGTCAGCTATCACCCAGATTTTTCTAAAACAAAAAATGGAAGTTAACTATTGCGAGCTGATCTGTGAGTCCAAAGCCCGGGCAGTTCTGGCATGGTCTCGCCTCCCTCGTCCAGGGGGTTACCTTCATGTTCTTGTCAAATATTTCCCAGAACACCCATTTTTAGTGTCTGTGTGAAAAGTGAAGTGAGATCCAGGTCAAAGACTCTGAGTGTGGATTGACAAAGTCACAGCTTTAAAATGTCTCTCTTTTCTGCAGAACAACATTCAAAGAATTTGCAGAGAAGTACGGAAGAGATCAGCGGTTTCGCCTTGTTCAGAAGAAGAAGGACCAAGAGCATTTTTTCAATCAGTTCATGCTTATTCTTAAAAAGAGGGACAAAGAAAACAGGATAAGGCTACGTAAAATGAGATAAAAACTCCTGAAACTGGCAATAAATACACAAGTCCATGCTGTGACTGCAGTAAGAAATTCAAATGAAGGCTAAAGCATTCGGGGTTAAACTTGCAACAGCTTGATGAGGAAGCGGATGTCCCTGAGAAAAACTTTCTCTAAACGGAGTTTATTGAACATATATTGAATTTGTGAAGGCTGTTCTGCAGGAATCTGAAGGATATTTTGTTCTCAAAGAATTAATGTTTCATATTGAAGCTCTCTTTTGTACAACATCCAGAGTTTGATGTATTTCTAATTGCCATGATTTGTCAATCCCTTAATTGTTTTAATTATGCAAATTACTTGTAATATACACAAATTATGAATCCAATGCAGATTTGTAATTAAGCAGAAGCAGATGCCATCCATAACAATCTCAAGATATTTTCATCATTTAGGGGAATTATCTAAAGCAATCTTTTGGCAACTTTATGCGTTAACATAAAGTGTTTAAAGGTACGGTGGTATGCAGGAATTCATTACCTGGTGTTCTTACGTCTCTGTCCAGTTCTATGAGTAGTAGTAATAAGGTATTAATTGTTAATCTTAGTGAAGAGTGTGAAAATCTTGGCATATGTTCCATAGGAAAACTCTTAAGTTTCAGAAATTGCTTTCTACTTACCGTGAATGGTGCTTTCAGGCACACAGGTGATAGCAACACTTCTCCGTCAAAGTTCCTAAAAGAAGTTATTTTGTAAAACCATCACAGTATGATTTGAATTATGTTACTGTATGTGAAAAGTCTGCATAAGTCTGCATGAGATTTTTTTTATCATATTTGTATAAATAAATATTTAACTTTTTTAATTAATAAATATTTTAAGCCAATTTTCAGGGGGTTTTAAGTTTCTAAACTTTTTGAAAAATTGGGTAAAATAATGCAGGTCTCATGGTTTTTACTTGAGAGATAGAAAACCAGAGAGAGTCCCTACCACTCATGATTTGTATGCAAATTCCACTAATATCAATTGGAGTTCTGAGCATATTGAGAGCAAAATAGTCACTGACTACGAAGGTAGGATATCATGGCTAGAGTAAATCAGCACAGCTCTGCTGAACATCAGTATGTCCCTTCCTTTATGCTGCAGGAAAGACACTCTTTTGTCTGTGATCATAATCATTTTCTCAGTTGACTTAATTTTTAAGTTATTACTCATTAGATTTATAGATTTCTATTTGCTAGGAGTGATGTTGATATTTTCTTCAACTAATGGTAATTTTTCTTTAGATGTGTGATGGATATTTTTTATAATCAAGGAAATGAAGGGTATTTTCTAATGCTTTGGAAAAATGAACTCAGAATAATTCAAAGAAGAGTACATAACGTAAGATGTGTTTTAGAAAGTGTGTAGAGCTTCAAACTTCTACATGAAAAAAGTTGTCATTTATTTCTGTGAGAGCAAGATCTGACCCAAAGTTGCTGTTGGTGTGAGTGAGGAAACGTTGCTGTGTCGGCATTATCAGGTTAAACAGATGCTGCCAGTTTTTCTCACCTCTGCAAGTGAGGGTTATACTGCAGGACCGAGCGAGCTGGAGTGCGAGCTGGTAGATGTAATTTGATTTTACATGGCTTGTGAGACTCGTGATAGCTACTCACTCACAACTTTATTTAACAATTATTTTTACATCTCTGGAAGAGCCTGGTTTGTTCCCACCCCTGTGTGACTCAGGAGTCCTGCATGAATTACGTAGAGACAAATGCTGTTCACTTGTATGTGTGGTAGGACTAGGCAGCAGTGACCCAGAAAAAAGATGTAGGTCTTTCAGTAGACCTGAAGACAGACTTCATAGGGGTTTTCATAAGGTTTTGCAAATTTTCCTGTTAAAAAAAAAAAAAGGTGCAGAAAAGCAGAGAGATCTTGCTTTTATGACTGAAAACTCTTCTGTTTCGGTGGCTTGTACCCCTTGTGTTGTTTTAAATGTATGTGCATATTTAGACCCTATACTGCCATCCCTTATTTCAAATATGAATAAAATGGGGGATTAATATTTTGGGGATTCTTCTTGATTTTAGCATTTTCTGACAATGTCAGAAATCCTCGTCACGATGTAAGTATGATAGTGAATGGATAATCTGATTTTCTTGTGAAATTCTGAAACAAAAGAAGTGATCAGTGCCGGTGGTGATCCGTATTTGTTAGAAGTTCGGCTCTGTTTTCTTTATTTAAAATGGAGGAATATTAAAATAAACACAACTAGCCCTGTGACACAACAGAAGGAAATGTGTATATTAAGGTACATTATAGTGCAAAATACTGATAGTCACCGAGGTAAAATACGTTCAGAGAAGCGCTTCAAGATTGTGGAAGAGTGTGATCTCATCCCAAATAATATTTTTATGGCATATTAATTTCTCAATGCCCTTAACAAATCCTAATCTCACTTCAGGTGCCTCAAATTAAAACATTCTCTTCTCTTGTTATTAATACGTAAGAAAAATGACTTTGTTGGGAGTGACTGCTTTTCATTGTTCATCAGAAGTCTCCTCAGATGATGGCAGAGCCCATCCTCCACGTTACCTTCTCCTATTCTTATATAGAAATAGTTTTGCTGAGCTGAAAGAGAAACCTGGATAACAGTAAGAAGCACCACCACCACCATTTTAGATTTTAACTTAAATCACAGAGCACCTTGTTAAGGTTGCCCTATTTATTCCTTTTGGCTATAGGTGGTAGTGGAGATGCTGTTCCTCGTCCGGCTTTGATTCCTCACCTGCCTTGCAAGCATGGAGGGCAGATACAGCGCAGCCGGTCCTGGGGTGGGTGCAAGCGAGACACCCCCATGCTCATAGGGGTGCACTTCTGCCGAAAGCAGGAGCGTCTGTTCTCGGAGCCAGGCCTTTAGAAAATTAAACAGCTTTTGTGTATCCTGTATATAATGCAGAAAACTCCAAGGAGTTGAGGGGAACCATTACATTCCCTTTATTTACGTACCACTTTCACCATGTATAAGAATTGTCAAAATATACGCATTAGCATTGTGAATATAAATGAATTAGCATTCATGTCTAATATGTCAAAGAAAAAACACCTATCACAATTTTTTAGTCCAGTCTAAGATTAATATAGCTGCATTTTGCTTTACCAAGTTATCCTTTGGATTGGTATAGTATGTAGCACATAATAGCCATTAATATTCTCATTCTAATTATTGTTTATAGTCATATTACTTTAATAAAATATAACTACTCTACAGTCAGGAAGGCCTTGAAGGTTGCAAGTGCCTTTGATGGGTCCAAAAGCTCGGCATACAGACTGGCTCCAGGTCCGTCCATTTGTCCTGCAGACGGTCGAGTGAGGCTGTTTTTGTCAAGGTTAGAGGTGAGGTTGGTCTGGCCTCCAAGCAGTGAAAAATGAGGCTATCATCCCTGATGCCAAATCCAGCAACTCTTAAAGAAAAAGGAGGCCTGATGCTTGGTTTGGTTGTGTTTCCCCAGGGAACACCTGAGTGGTGCCACCAGGGAGGTGCAGGAGCCCTCTGCACCGTTTCAGTCTGTCACTGGGGATAACTTCATGGCTGATTTGGAAATCACACAAGAATGATGGCTACAAATGTGTGACCATCATACATTAACAGCATATAGTGGGTGCCAGGAAACTATAGCTATATAAGTCCAGGGGAGATCACCTATGGAGTCATACATAATACCCCAGCGCCATTGCAGAGCACTGCCTGTATGTTGGGTACAGCTTTGGAGGCAGCATTGATCCACACAGCTCGCTTACAGAGCACACACACAGCTTTGAGCCTCTTCAGGAAACTCTGAAAAGCACTAAGCTCCATTAAATGGTCAGAGATGGTTATTTTTCTCAGGAAATAAGATTTTTCCAGTATTAGTTATTTCTTTTCTGCAATATATCTTAAGTTTTCATATGCTGGGATGCACACCTCAAAGTGTCTTAGCCAAGATACAGTAAGGACAGACAAACAGGCCTGCCTACCATTGCATCATTGGCAAGACCTCATCGAAAATACTTTTGAATGGAGCTCACCTGTGCGAGGTGATGCGGAGGCAGCTGGACCAGGGGAGCACAGCCCCCATCACTAGAGGACACCAAGGAGGAGAGGAGGTGCTCATGTAAGAGAAGACTAAAAAAAAAACCTAAAAGCCTCAGACTTTGTTTGGCCAGTGCAGTTAAGTCTAGAAAGGGAGATCATTATTCTGCACGATCATGCTAGGAGGTGGTAGCATAGCGAGAGGTGATGTTTACCAAACCTGGACCAGGGGAGCACAGCCCCCATCACTAGAGGACACCAAGGAGGAGAGGAGGTGCTCATGTAAGAGAAGACTAAAAAAAAAATCTAAAAGCCTCAGACTTTGTTTGGCCAGTGCAGTTAAGTCTAGAAAGGGAGATCATTATTCTGCACGATCATGCTAGGAGGCGGTAGCATAGCGGGAGGTGATGTTTACCAAACCTGAACAGCTCCACAAGAACAAGTCGGAGTAAACAGATTTTCGTGAGTTAGGAGTTAATTTTCAGGACTCTCTTTTTACCTTCCAACATGAGGGCACTCTTCCTTTTACCTGGGTAACCAAGAGGAAAATCTAACTATTCCTGACTTGAGTAACCCATTGAATTTTTTTCTAGGGTGGTTTCAAGGGCATAGCACTCTGGGTGGATTGTGACTAGATTGTTCAAATTATTTTGTTACAAACTTTGTTCATCTTCAGCTCTCCAGGAATCCCATGTTTCCTAATACCTGTCACATTAAAACAAGTGAAATCCATCTCTTAAGTCCTGGGCTCACCAGGATCACCTGAGGGGGATTCATTTATCCCAGGTCACTGCCCCTGATGCAGGGGTGGGAGGCTGCTGGGCGTCATACTCCCTCCCATCTTCCCTGACCCAACACAGTTTTTCTAACCCTGGTCTATTTACAACAACCTGATCACCTCTGAGCCCCTGTACCAAAGGTTCTCCAACTCACACATGGGGGATTTTTGACAAGAAACACTCACACTAAACACCCAGCCTTTCA